ACCAGATCCCCATCTTAGGGCCCCCAACACAGCACAGGCTAGAGAGAGGACAGGCTCGAAGGCTTCTGCATATGCTGCTTTCCTTATGGAAGGATGACTTCCAGGGACCAGTTCCACTACAGCTTCTACTCAGCCCAAGAAATGTGGGGCTCCTAGCAGATACTCGGCCAAGGGAGGTGAGTCAGAGGCACAGGGCCTCTGGTTTCTTTTGGGGTTGAGTTAGATATATTTTATGTGTATGAAGCTTTTTAAAAGCCAGCATGCATACATGCAAACCATGTGTATACCTCCTGTTGGATCCCCTGGAACTAGGGTGGCAAGGGGGAGCCCTCATGTCAGTACTGAGAATTGAACTTGCTGAGCAACAAGTGCTCTAAACATCTGAGTCATCTCTCTAGGCTCTTTCACTGTAGTTCATGCTGACCTTAAATCTGCATTATTTCTGCCTATAACTCCCAAGTGCTGATTACATATGTGAGCTATCATGCCCAGCTCCTCTACTCATGCTGTGTGTTAAGGGGATTCTATTGTGTGTGTTGGGGGACGGTTAGCATGTGTACTTGTGAGCACTGTTTTTGCTGAACCTGAAGCTCATTCATTGATGGGCTAAACTAGCTGGCTATTGAGCTTCCAGGATTTTCCTATCTGTAGCTCCCTCAGCACTAGGGTTACAGATAGACATTCACAAACAGGGATACAAATGCAGGTCATCATGTTTGCACGTCAGGCACTTTACTGAGCCATCTCTTCATCCCTGCAAATCATGTTCTTAACATTATCCAGTGCCCCATACCTTTTTGTTTGTTGTTGGTTGTTTTGTTTTTTTGAGATAGGGTTTCTCTGTGTAAGCCTAGCTGTCCCAGAACCCTCTCTGTAGGCTGACTTCTGCTTGCTTCTGCCTCCCGAGTGCTGGGATTAAAGGCTTAGGCCAACAATGACTGACGTAGCAAGTGTTCTTAACAGCATGATGTGCCATCTCTCTAGCCCTAGCTCTGTCTTTTGAGATCTGTCTTTACTCTCGGGACTACTGTTCAGTCCTCAGTCCCTACAGTTAAGACTACTGTGTTCTTGACAACTCCTGGCCTTCTCTGGTATTTTGCAGTGGGACCTGCTGCTGTTCTTACTCCGGGAGCTGGTAGAAAAGGATCTCATGGGACAGCTGGAGATAGAAGCCTGCTTGGGCAGCCTTAATGAGGCCCAGTGGCCAGGGGTAAGGAGTCTTAATCCCTTTGTCTTACATGAAGAGAGAATGGAAATGTATCATTTGTCCTAAAGACTGCTTAAGTAGTCCAGGGTAACCACAAATTTGCATTCTTTCGGCTTGCTGAGTGCTAGGATTCCAGTTGTAGACCCATCATAGTTGGCAGCTAATGCATTTTTGCTAGGTGTTTTCAGGACTACCATGAGAGTGAGTAGTAGGTTTGATCTGTGTGGCTACTTTTTGAGACTCTTAGAAGACGAAAGGGGAAGAAGGACAATTGGAAAGCAGCACAGCATAATGACTATTGGGGATTTGAAACTCTAAGTGAATTTCAGCTTATATTTAAAATGTTCTTGTGATTCGGAGCAAAACAGTATCCATAAAATAAGATTAATACTTTGTGCTTGAAAATGGTAAAGCCTCAGTTTCCTGTCAGTCCATTTTCCCTTCTGGAACTTAAACTTTAGCTTGCTAGTTTTACAGGCTTGTATCTATTTTTGCATAGAAGGTATTGGGTAAAATACCTGGGTTGATACCTGGGTTGTCAGGCTCTCCACTGTCTGTGAGAGCTTGTTTGGGACTGACCTTAGAAAGGGCAAACCATCTGCTGGGCAGTGGTGGCGCATGCCTTTAATTCTAGCACTTGGGAGGCAGAGGCAGGCAGATCTCTGTGAGCTCAAGAGATAATGTGCTTTATCCCTGTGAAAATGGTGGGTTTTGTTTTGAGAGTAAGATTCTGGCTCTAATGGAAGTACTAGAAGGTGCTCAGTGATTAAATAACTTGTTTGAAGTCACATGCTCCAAAGCTACAGAGAAACCCACCCCACCCCACCCCCCAAAAAAAGAATGTCAGACCATCTAGAATTACTTTTCTCTTAACCTTTCTACTTCAGGACTTCTCAGAAGAATTATCAACACTATTTCGCTTGTTCCTAGCTGAGCCCCATCTGCTAGAACCCCAGCTGAGAGCTTGTGAACTTATGCAAACAACCCGAGGGACAGTGCTGGCCCAAAGCTAGGGCTGGGAAGCAGCCCTCTTGGGCATGACACCAGAACCTGCCTCCTGTACCTCAGAAGGAGGCTCAAGAGCCCACTCACACCTTGCTGGGGCAAGAGTGGCCATGTCCGTAGTCAGGCTTGCTGCTCCTAAGTGAAGGAAGTGTGTTGCTGCAGAGCATCCACAGACACAGGCCTCAACACCTGAAGTCTAGAGGAAGGAGAACCTGATTCAGAGTCACAGTGGAAAAGCCTAGAGACTCCAGTTTTGGAGCAGAAGGGCTGGTGTTTCTCATTTGGATGCTAAATGAAATATGTGTGTGCCGGTCAGTGCATTTCAAGCCTCAAGTTGCTGCTATCCCAGCATTTCTTAAAACTGTGGTTCTGAGAAATCTTGATAGGCAAAGAAATGTTTAACTTATGAGAAAGTTAACAAAACATGGATTTGGAAGTCTACATTTTCTCACCTACAGAAGCTGGATTGTTACCCCCACCCCCCAAATATTGACAACCAATAAGGTAGGACACGCCTGTGTGAAACTTGGTCTAACATGGACTTTCATTTGCAGGAAGTTAGTCATCAGACCAAGCATGGTGTAGAAAATTAGGGGGTTTGGGTCTTTTTTAAATAAAACTTTTAACAAGGTCTTGATGGCTATTTTCCCCTGCTTTTATCCCCTTTCTGAAAGTAGGCTTTGCTGATGCCTGCATTCTTTCATGATAAGACCCAGTCTTGGCAGCACAACCTGCTATAAACTATTGCCATCTACTCTCACCATGCTCCCTGCTGTCTAGGCTGACCCACATGGCTTTGGTGATATCTACATTGTTGGCACTGGCATGTCTCACTTATCTCAGAACTTATTCTAATCAGAAGCAGTCTTCTGGGTTATAGTTGTCAAGACCTCGTTTCTTTAAGTGGGCAGATGATTTTCAGAAATTTATTTTTATTGCACTTAGCATGCCAGCACGGTAAGTGCTATGGCACACTTCTGGAGGTCAGAGGACTACTTCTTGGAGTCAGTTCTCCTTTCACCATGTGGATCCCTGGGCTTAAGTTCAGGTCATTAGGCTTGGCACTAAGCCATTTCATAGCCCCTGGAACCAGTGATTTTAAGAAAGACAACGGAATTTTGATAATGTGCTTTATCCCTGTGAAAATGGTGGGTTTTGTTTTGAGAGTAAGACTCTGGCTCTAATGGAAGTACTAGAAGGTGCTCAGTGATTAAATAACTCCAAGTCACATGCAAAATATTTACATGCAACATATTTTAGGAGAAAGGTTTACTGCTGTCAACAGGCTTCTGACCTAAATTAAGCTTCTCTAAACTTATATCCCAGAGCTACTTATCCATTGTGTATACCTCTCCATTCCTTCCTTTGACTCCTTTAAAATGCCTGAGCATCAGAGTGTTTTTCCAGGTCTAGGATTGGGCCCAGGGGCCTTGCCTCACTGGTGTTAACCACAAACTCAGACTGCTTAATGCTGTCAGTACTTGTTATCAAACCTAGGGAAGTACTCTACCACTGAGCTTCAAGCCCAGTAGACAGTCATGTTTTTTTTTCCTCTTTGTGTTCCTAGAGGTCAGTATTATAATGGTGTGCCTCAGAAAGCTGTGAGCCCTGATAAAGGTGAGCAACAGGCTAATGGCCTGTTCTCACATTGTTTGGGAAAACCTGAAGTCCCCAAAACTGTTTGACTCAGCCATGAAGCAAGCCTTAAAGTGCGCTTAGAGAGCCGGGCATTGGTGGTGCACGCCTTTAATCCCAGCACTCGGGAGGCAGAGGCAGACAGATCTCTGTGAGTTCGAGGCCATCCTGGTCTACAGATCGAGTTCCAAGAGAGCCTCCAAAACAATACAGAGAAACCCTGTCTCGAAAAACCAAAAAAAAAAAAAAGTGCGCTTAGAGAAACAGGCAGCTAATGAACTAGTTAGGGAACTGTCAGTCTCCTTTCTCTATACAAGTACTCTTTTGCAGGGATATCTGATTTAACCTCAGAACTCCCTTCTGAGTTGTAGTTGGTGGTATTTGTATTGTGTGTTCTGTGGACCAGTAGCCTCAAAGCACCTGTGACATTCTACAGGTAAAAATACTTAGCTCCCCAATCTCGCCAGGAGTAGGCCCAGCCTAGGGTGATTCCCATGCTTTCCAAAGCCTGATTTACATTTTGTTTTTTGCAATAGGATCAGTGCAGGCTTACAAATATAGAAATACACAGTGATCAACCATTGCTTAATACATACTAGCATAGTATTACAACTACATCTATCTTCTTAAATACATTCTTGGGTTTTTCTTTTTCCCCTCCTGTATCCTTTAAGTTATCTAGAGATGATTTAACTTATCTAGAGATGATTTAACTATGTGTAAGTAACTACAAGAAACTTTTGCTTGAATGTCTTTTGATCTATGGTTAAATGTACAGATATGGGATGTGAAGCTACAGAGAGTTGACTGTGTGCTTCAGATTGCTGACTTGGGACTTAGGTGAGGCTTATCTTATGCTAGCTAGCCCACCTATTCAGATTCCTGCAGTAGCTGAGCTCATAGGAAATACTAGCATATGCATGTAAACGACACTCAGGGTTCTTTTGGTTTTTTGAGATAGGGTTTCTCTCTGTAGCCCTAGCTGTCCTGGAGTTCACTCTGTAGACTAGGCTGGCCTTGAACTCACATATCCAACTCTCTCTGCTTCCTGAGTGCTGGGATTAAAGGTGTGTGTCACCAGCACCTGGATATTTTTTTTTCCTTGCCTTTTGTCTCAAGGCACTTATATAAAGAGAGACAGAAACAGAGCAGGTGACTTGACTTGTTGTCTTTAGGACTTGGAAGGGTAGGGCTACATATACAGTGAAATCCTGACTCAAAAAAAAGCAAGGGGGAAGGGAAAGGAAATCAGTAGGCATATTATCAACTGTTGCAAAAATATTAACCATAAAGATAAATTCAAAAGCACATTTTCAAACATTCAATTGGTAATATATAAATACTCTAAGGGATTAGAAAAATCTTGTAAAGAATTTACTCTTTAACCATTCTTCTGTCTCCATGAGAGTATCTTTTTCAATCACAAAGTTGAAGTAGCAGAAATAATTTTTTTTTCTCCAAGACAGGGTTTCTTTGTGTACTCATAGCTGTCCTGAAACTAGCTCTGTAGACAGATTCACCTGCCACTGCTGGGATTAAAGAGAATTTCTTATCCCTACCATTTCCAGATTAACATGGAAAAATCTTCAGAGGATTCCACCAGGCCAAGATACAAGTTCTATCCTATTATTAGAACAGTTAAGCTCAGTACTTAACTATTGGTCAATAGTTATTTTTGGTGCTTGAGACAGGATCTCATGTATCCCAGGCTAGCTACCTGAGGGTGATCTTGAACTTCTGGTCCTCCTGCTTCTACTACCAGTATGCTTTAGGCATATGCCACCATACCTACTCAGTCAATGGATTTATATAAAAAGAAGTAGGTCCAGGTGTGGTGGCTCATAATTCCAGCATAAGTGTTGGACAAAGTCAAGGCCTACCAGAATTTAATTCTCTCCAAGACAATCTGGTTGAAATCCTCTTACCATGTCAGCAAGCAGCATGGAGCTGCCCCTACCCATTACTGCAGTGTCTTCAGGTCCCATATCTTGTCTGTTTCTCCAGTGGTCTCCCATTGTACTGAGATCAAGGTAAACTGACCATACCAATGACACACAATGACCTAGTAAATGGGGTGTGTGTATATATGTGTGTATGTGTAAATATGAATAGTAAAGTTCATAAACATTCAGTGATAGAAAACAATTCTGAATCAAGAGTCTGGTTTGTGCAGTTGATTCTTTAAACTGGTTTGATCATTTCTGTCACTCCATCACAGAATGGAGCTGAATGTTGGAGATAGATTCAAAATACCCTTGGCTAGTGCTTGTCTACCAAGGAGGCACTGCAGTCCCCAGCTCTGCTCTTTCCAGTCTTTGAACATTTGGTATGTCATTGAGTCCCAGAGGCAGAAAGTGAAGGTGAGAAATCCTAAATGTGAGTTGAGTTTCGTTGGATAGCCAGGGCCAGGAGATTCAAGTTGCTCACTCTTCAGAGGTAACCAAGTACTAAGTACTGGTTTTGTTGGCAGCACTGGGCTGGTGCCATCTATACCTGGCTACCATGGGCAGCCTGGGCTCTTCTTGCCTCAGAGTGTAGAAGCAGCTATAGAGTTCTCAAGTGTCCTGGGCCTACATCTCAGCAATGCTGTTTCCACGGCCCAATACTAACTACCAAGGAAGGATGCCAGCTTGGCCACAACCAGCGGTTGCTGTTTGATAAAGGAGTTCAGAAGATGAGGAGGGAAGCCTGGTGCACCCAGCTCCACCTGGAAGGAGAAGGAAGAAGTGAAGGTGCAGACAGACCTAGATCAGCCACTCTGGCAGTGGTGACTGGAGATGCACTTGGGCTCCTGAGTTTGGATCTAAGTACTAGCCTTCCCCTCCCCAACGATGAAGGTAGAGTTGCCTGAGAGTGGAGAATGGTAAGTTAGGATTCTGCTCTGCTGCTGCTTTCAACTCAACAGTCCATCTACTTCCATAAGATATTAAGTCAGTCAGTCTCTAGTGCTGGGAGCTTCACAGACTATAAACTTGCTCGTTCCCCTCTTTGATCCCCCTTGCTGTGAGCCTACTCTAGCCAGGATGTCCTGGCAACTGGGGGATTCTATGCAACTGAAGAGAAATATCCCAAGGTATGCCATGAAACAGGATGGGTGCTGTGTCACCTGGGCAAGGAAGATGACTCTAGTTATTTCTTTCCCCTCCGTGATGACAGGCTGCAGGACCCAGGCACTGGGCAGGATCTCTCCTCGAACCATTTTTCTGCTGGGTCTTGGCATGGATGTGTCATACACAGACTGAGCTGCCATGATTGACAGGTGCCCCTATGGACAGAGATACATGTGAGTCCTGCCTGTGCAGTGACAAAACAGGGACAGGTTTAAGTGTAGTCAGGATGATGACTACAGTCAGCCCTTAAGCCACCCTACCCTAGCGCCCACTAATTTGCACCTCAACCCAAGTTCATCCCAAAACATTTTACCACCAGCAATATAGGTACCTCTTTAGCTTCCACGCAGACACAGCAGAAATCCCGCAGCTGCTTCAGTGAACACAGTGTGGTGTCGCACACCAAGTACACTAGAAGGACATATAGATTCCATACTCAGAAGTCCCACTTTACTCCATTACTAGATCTCTAGCACAATCTTGCCGAGCAATCTGGAGCTCCCAACAGTGCTGCTCCAACCTTCTACCTCTGCCCCCAGGCCTGGAAGCCTTCAAGCCCTTGGACTTACCAAGGCTGATACTATTGGACACTCGCTGATGCAGCCTTGCTGTCTGGATGGGCTTGTGATACAGAGGCCACAGAGTGGGATCACTCACAGCTGCCCACACATGAGAGAGTGGCTGGAGCACCACACCTGCACCCAAGAAGCCGTGTCGAGTAGAAGAGAATTCCTTGTAGTAAAGCTGCACCTCCTGTTCCTCACCCTGATAGCTGGGGACACAGGAGGCAAGGAATAAAAGGAGGCTACCAGCTTGAGATGTGCCGGGAAGCCAGGGCAGAGAAGAAAGAGAACAATAGCAGAAGGACCAAGCACTGATGGATAACTTACTTCCAGCCAGCTGTTGCCTGGCGGCTGAAGAGGTTGTGGAGATTATCTGAACATGCAGCCATTACCTGAGGACAGAGGGTAGAAGCTAGGTCTCTAGGTTCATCAGTTCTGGCTAACATTTACTAAATGCCCATCTGTCAAGATGAAGAGTTCTTGAAGCTCCCAATGCCTTGGTGGCCCTAATCTGCCTGGCTCCTCCCCATCCAGCATAAGTTTGGCTATAGCAACAGGAGGGGAAAAGGAACAGGCGCACAGACTCACATCAGCCATTGAAGTGTTGACAATGTGTTTGGCCAAATCCTGGTAGGGGGAGAAGCAGGTCCCTAAACTGGATAGGCTGAAAGGAGAGCAGCAGCCACTGCCCAGGGAGGCTCTGCAGCCTACAATAAAGAGATGAAGGCTCTGTACTGACCTGAAAACACCAGGGTGGTGGGACACTGGTATGGGACCAAGAGTCTTGGGCCAGTTAATCTCACAGCTGTCATTTCCCAAGCTTCCTACTCACTGTGGGCTAAGCTCTTCCAGGAAGACCTGGTCAGATACAGCTGACTGTTCCTCACTGTGGAACGGCCCCGCCAGTCTCCTATCCAAGTGTCTCGGAAATCTGGTACTCGAGAGTCCTCCTGCAGAACAGAGGATACTTAGAACTAGCAATTACAATGGGATTTCAGGAGATTGGGTGCTGTGGTAGTTTGAATAAGTATGGCCCCCAAAGGCTCATATATTTGAATGCTTTGGAAGCCTTCAAGCCCTTGAACTCACCTAGGCTGACTGTTGGTTACCAGGGAGTGGCACTATTTGAGAGGTTAATCCTTAATGGAGGTGTGGCCTTGTTGCAGAAGTATGTCACTGGGGTTGGGCTTTGAGGTTTCAGATGTTCATGCCAGGTCTAGTGTCACTGTCTCTCTGGCTCTCAGCTACTTCTCTAGCAACATACCTGCCTGCTGCTGTGCATTCTGCCTTGATGATAATGGACTAAGCCCTGAAACTGTAAGCCAGCCCCCAATTAAATGCTTTCTTTTGTAAGAGTTGCCTTAGTCATGGTGTCTCTTCACACTGACAGAACAATAACTAAGACAGATGCCCTCAAGAGAAAACAGCAATAGATACCAGGCAAGAAAGCTTCATTATCTAGGCTACAGGCTTAAAGGGTTACTTGCAGATCAGCTGCCATGGCAGTTGGGATAACCAGTATCTGACTATGGAGCCCTCTGCTAAATTATGTAAGAAGCCACCTGTAAGCCGGGCGTTGGTGGCACACACCTTTAATCCTAGCACTCAGGAGGTAGAGGCTGTCGAATCTATGAGTTTGGGACCAACCTGGTCTACAGAGCGAGTTCCAGGACAGCCTCCAAAACAATATGGAGAAACCCTGTCTCGAAAAACCGAAAAAGGTGAAGGGAAAAAAAAAGCCACGTGTATCATGGTGGCAGCAGGAAGCAGGCCAGCTTTAGATCTGTAACTGTTAGGATCCCTTTCACCTATCATCTTTCTCCACTTGTCTCCACTGCTCCCTTTTCACTAGATATGAGTATTTAAACATACAGAGATGTGTTTCCCAGCATTGAGCTTCCTGAAGCCAGTGTTCTGTTTGTCATCTCCTACCTCTTGCTTGCACTGCACCTGCCATAACCTAGAACCATTTGCTCTCACCACTCCTCCAAAAAATACCACCGCAGTTCACAATGCTGTAGGACAAGATGCTTCCAACCCCATCTTTCTGCATCTTTCAGCAGGCTGTCACATGTCCAGTAAGATCTGTTCCCCTAGCACCCAGGCTCTCAGCTCCCACCCCTGTTCTCTGTCTCAGTTCTCTTATTGACCTCAACCATAAACTGACATCTTGGGGTTCTTTTGCATTTGGCCCAATGCCCTAGGCGACCTTGTATGTTGATAGTACTACACAGGTGACTTCTAGCTGTAATCATGAATTAATACTGCTATGGCAAACTGGGTTAGCATTAGGGGCAGAGAACCGTTATATAGATCAGGCCAAAATAAACCCCTTGTGCTTTGTGGGTCAAAGATAATATTGGGAGCAAGAAAAATATAGCATTATTAAAAAATTTAAAAGGTCAAAAGCAGAAAACTCCAGTTAGTATATAAATATTTCATAGTACTGCTATCAAAAATTGAAATATAAAAACTATAGAAAAGGAAGTGTAAGTGACCTGTGTGACGTGGTGGTGCTGGCAGGCATGCTCATTCTGTCTGTGGGGTGCCCTGGTGCTCTACCTGGTGCTGCAGCCATGGGGGCCTGGCCCTGCTACGTGCGCCCTGTCAGTGGTAGGTGCGGTAGCCTGCTGGGGGTGATTTTCTGGGGACTGTTCACATCGTCTGAGGTCTCTCAAGGGTTAGTGTCGATTTCCTACAATGTAAAACGATGTTCAAAGCGTAGGTGCTGTCACTGATTCTGTCTTTGGGCTAAGGATCTCTGGTGACGTGCTCTGGGATGTCATGTTTTCAAAACGTGTGTGGTGTGTCTCTGGAATTCTGTCACCCCAACAAAGTAAGGGAAATCTCATTGTAAATCACGTGTGTTGGGGGCGGGGCTGGTGGGCTGCGGGACGGGTTCTGGTCTCTGGCTCTGTGGCTGCTGGCCTCTCGGCGAACCTCCACCTGGGCGCCTCGGGTCCCTGCGTGAGGTGTGTGGAGGTGCTGTCTCTTGTGCTGGGGGCCTCTCTGCCATAGTGTGTGGCTGTAGGGCAGGTGTGCCTCGGTCTCGGCTGGGGTACTCAGTTGCCCTCGTGGTGGTGGCTCTCTCTGTGCGACGCTGAGCCCTGCTCTCCCCCTCCTCCCTGGGTTTGGGCTGTGGGGTGTGCTGCTGCTGAAATCTCTAAGGGGTGCCAGGGAGACCTGGCCTATAAGTGAGCTGGAGTGTGCTGTGGGGCTGTGTAGCACCCTGACTCTTTCCTTTGTAGGGAAAGTGCGGTGTGCTAAATTTTACCTCTGGGTGGTGCTGCTGGTGGAGGGCAATGATCAACAGGTTTTGGCTGGGCTGTGGGTTGTCTGTAGTGCTCTTGGCGGCGTCTGGTGGGGGTCGGGCTCGTCTGTGCTGAGGTGAGGTCAGGGGATGCCAGTTTGGCTAGCGCTCTCTGTGATGTGACGTCTCTGGACGATGTGATGTGTCATGCTGACGAGTGTCAGGGGTTCAGCGCCCTCTCTGTGTGTGCTCGCTCTCTGCTGTCTCTGAGCTGTATGTATGGGTGATGATTTGACATGGCAAGCCTTCTAAAGAAGGGGAACTGTCCAATATGATAGCCTCATTGTTTGCTGCATGTGTGCAGTGTGGCACATGTGACCTGAGAACAAACATTCTGGACCTGGTGCCAGTCACCTATTCCTCCACAAATACAAAAACAGACTATTGTAACTTCACATTTCCAAGAGCAACTATCAAAGAGCACTGAGATTCCACACAATGGCAAATGGAAACCTGTAGATTTCAAAGAACTGAGACAAGAGCACAGCAGGAGAAGCAAAATATCCCAGCACTTGCCCTACCTTCATTGCCCAGAAAGATGGCTCCTTTCTTTAGGGTAACCAGAGTCCAGGAAAACTCATTAGCACAAATGAGACAAGCCTGGCTACTGGGAAGACCCACACATAACCCTCTCAGGCTTATAGCCTAGTTAGGTAAGGAGTCTGGAATCTTCACAGCCTGGCTTTGGGAAAGGGTTCACTGTAACTCCAAGCCTTCCCCTGGGGTGCTGTAGACAAAAGCATTTTGATAATGCCCTATTGTTTGAATTTGGACTGCTCTGGGCATCAGAAATAACCTATACCCATCTCTGAGGTCTCATAGAAATTCTACTCTATAGCTGGGTGTGGTGGTGCATGTTTTTAATCCCAGCACTTGGGAGGCAGAGGCAGGTGGATCTCAGTGGGTTCCAGGCCAGCCTGGTCTACAGAGCTAGTTTCAGGACAGCCAAGGCTACACAGAAAACCCTGTCTGGAAAAAAACAAAACAAAACAAAAGAAATTCCGCTCTACTAGCAGTAGGGTAGCCACCTCATGAACAAGACCTGGCCTAGTAGAGTGACTGACTCAAACCTGCAGAGAGCATGTGGGGAACAAGTGTGACACAGAAGGGAAACAGAGGAGGCTGTAGTTGAGTTAACTGTCCCACATTACTAATATGTATGACAGGTACCAGTAAAATCCAGAGGATCATGATTTGACAATTAGATTCCTAAAAGCTAGAAAATATAGATCAGATCCGGATAAATTCCTAGATACAGATAAATGGCCAAATGGACATGAAAAATAGATCTATAACCAGCAACAATACTAAAACCACAATAATCTCTCAACAAAGAAAAGTCCAATACTGGATGACTTCATTACCAAATTCTACCAAACCTTAGAAGTTAATGCCAATGCTCTTCAAACTGTTCCATAAAATAGAAAGGAAAGGAATACAACTAAACCCATTCTAGGAAGCCAGTACTATCCTGCTGCCAAAGCCAGATAAGCATACAACAACAAAACTGTAGGCCGAATTCTCTGATGAATACAGATGTGAAAATTCTTTTCTGTTTGTTTTTGTTATTTTTCGAGACAGGGTTTCTCTGTATTGTTTTGGAGGCTATCCTGGAACTCACTTTGTAGACCAAGCTGGGCTCAAACTTACAGAGATCCGCCTGCCTCTGACTCCCGAGTGCTGGGATTAAAGGTATGTGCCACCAACGCCCAGCGATGTAAAAATTCTTAACAAAAATACTTGGAAACAGAATTCAAGAATACATTGAGGAGCTGGGAAGATGGCTCAGTGGTTAAGAGCACATGCTACACTAGGCATACTGACACATACCCTTAATCCCAGCCCTTGGGAGGCAGAGGCAGGCAGATCTCTGAGTTCAAGGCCAGCCTGATCTACATAGCCAGAGCTACACAAGAAAACAAAACAAAAAAGAGCTGCTTTTCTAGAGGACCCTAGTTCAGTTAATAATTGTCTCTAACTCCATCAGGGATCTGATGCCCTCTCCTGGCATCTATGGGTACCAGGCACACATTGTACAAATTCAAGCACACATGTATACACATTTTTAAGATATTCAACATACCATTAAAAAAATCATTAAAAACAATCCCGTCCATAATAGGTGTTTTGTTTATTTTATGGCTAAGAATAAAATTAACTAAGAAAAAGATCTACACAATGAAAACTACAAAACACTGTAGAAAGAAATTGAAGACAGGCACTGAGAGAGGCTTGAGGTCGAGTACTTCCTGCTCTTCCAAAGTACCCCACTTCAGTTTCCAGTACCCACATCTGCTTGTAACTCTATTCCAGGTGATGTGGTGCACACCTTAAACAAACACACACATACATATAAGTAAAAAGTTTTAAAAATCTTCAAATATGGAAATACATCCTCTCCAAAGTTCACTATTTGGAAGAATTCTACAATTGCATGCCCATGACACTCAAAGCAATTGATAGATTCAGCATAATCTCCATAACAATGTCAATGCCATTCTTCATGGAAACAAAAGCTAATCCTATAATTCACATGGAAACCTTAAGTAAAAAGAGCAAAGCTGGAAAGTTCACAGTTCTTGATTTCAAGGCAGACTACAGAACCAAGGTAACAAAAACAGTGTGGTATTAACATAAAAATGCACAGACAACAGAAAATCTAGAAATAAATCTTACATCCACAGTCAACTGATCCTTAACAAAGGTTCCCAAACAAACAGCGAATGGACAGCCTAACAAATACCACTGGGGCAAGTAGAACCGCACAGGCACAATATTGGATCTGGACCCTCATCTCTCACCACAACTAAATCAACTCAAAATGGATAGAAAGACTTAGTTTTCTGACTGTCTTGCTATACACCACAGATAACCTTGATTGAACTCATGATCCTTCTTCAACATACCAACAGCTGGGATGACAGGTGTGTATCACCATGACAGGGTCTGGACCTTAGTGTAAGACATGAAACTCTGAAATTACTACAGGAATAGAGGAAATATTTCAAAATCGACACGATGATTTTCTGATCATGGCTACAACATTTTAAAATTCACAGTTGAGCCAGGCAGTGGTGGTATACACCTGTAATCCCAGTACCCTGGAGGCCTGAGAGACAGGCAGATATCTGAGGCCTAGGCCAGCCTGATCTATAGATTGAGGTCTAGGATAGCTAGGATTATATAAATAAACCTTGTCTCAAAAAATAAATAAGGAAATAAAATAGACAGTTGAGATTATATCACAAGCAAAAGCTTCTAAACAGCAAAGAAAATGCTAACAAAGAGCATGAAGAATTAAAGCATCTGCTGTGGGTGGTGGCGCACGCCTTTAATCCTAGCACTGGGGAGGCAAAGGCAGACGGATCTCTGAGTTTGAGGCCAGCCTGGCCTTCACAGCTAGATACAGACCAGCCAATGAGACCCCGCTTCACAAATAAATAAACTGAAGGCACACAGGAAGGGCTCGGTAGGGACCTTGAGAGGCACAGGTCCTACACATGCTTTCATCTCAGAAACACTGCTGTTTGTCCACTCACCTTAAGCTCTAGGGATGTGATGCCAGAAGTCAGGCTTCCATTGGAGCTGGTGCACAGGGAACTGGAGTTGGCTAGACTTTGTAGTTTCTCCTCTTCCTGGGAAGAAGACAAATAGAACTAGCTACTGAAGATACACCCTCACTACCACATTCTCTCCCCCAACCTTCCCTCTTATCTCACCTCCCAGATCCTCCTGCTGTAGCCTCCTACCTACTTCCCAGAAGCCACCATTCTCCATGCTTCCCCACATTCCACACAGAAGCCTCTTCCTCCCACACTCTGGTCTGTGACAAGAGTGGTCTGATGAAGGTGTAAAGGGAATATGAGCCCAGCTTTGGACGGGAAGCAGAGTCCTACACCCTCCAAGTGTATCCAGACTCACAAACTGCTAGAGTCTAAGATCTGGCCCAGGTTCCAGGCCTGTCCTAAAGCAGAAGACCACCTCATTGCTCACCTTCAGCAGCTGGGAGATGATCTGCTGGCGGATTCTCAGCTTTTCTTGTTCAGTCCTTTGCCTGAGCCGATCCCGAGCCTGGGCAATCTCCACCTTGGCCTCCTCACGGGCCTGATGATAGTCTCGAAGCATCAGCTCAATGTCAGAGGGTGGGTGGGCTGATCTCAGTGCTGGTTCTGGGATCCTAGGGAGGTCCACAGGGTGAAAAGACACCTTCTAACATAAAGTACAGTCCTGTCCAACCCAGCAGGCTCAGCACAACCTCCTGCTATCTACAAAATCTTCATTCAACGTTCTTAGGACAGTTTTCTAGAAAGAGGAACAAGCCATTCTAAGACCCAGACACACAGACTTGCACAACATATGAGTCCCTCTGTCTAATGCTTTCCCATGGCTTTTTCTGCCCATCTCCTTCTGTGCCACTCTGCCCTAATCCCTCCTACACATCCTATTTCTATTTGTCCCAAACTCACATCTAGTTCAGTTTTTCCAGAGGCATGGAAAAGCCTTTGGGAAGTTCAAATTCCAGCCCTGCTTCCAAAGAGCCTGCTTCCTGAATGCTCCAGATTCACTCTTACCTCGTGGTCTCTACGACATCCTTCCTCAGCTGCTGCAGGTATTCTCGGCGTCTGCTAGGCAAGTCAAGTTCCCAGGTGGGGCGATCCTTGCTAGGCAGGAAGCTGAATTGTTTCTGGGGACTGAGGCTTCGTGTTCGACGAAAGTTATGAAGTCGTTCAGCCCTCTCTCTCCTGAGGGTCTCTATAGTCTTTTTCTGCCTGAGACAAAACGTGATTGATTCACTGAAGCTCGTCCTACATGGCCCTTCACCCTGAAGTTCTCTGACCCTGCGGAAGAACCCTGAGAGGAGCAAGGGCAGAGCTAACAGCTTACTATTAAGTTTCCTTGGGTCCTATCTTAATGACCCCTTCCTTCCCCTCCAGGCGCTTACCTGGTGTAGAGCTCCCCTGAAGAGGACATAGCAGGTTCTTGAGGAGCAAACACCTCTCCTGTCCCATTCTGCAGAACCTTCAGCAGGGCATCTGTCTCCCCGAAGCCACGGTGTAATTTTGCTTCTGTGAGTTCCACACTGAGTGAGGGTTTCTGGACCCCTACTTGCAAAGGGACATGCTCCAACCGGGGCCACTCAGGATCCTGGTTGTAGTTGTCAAAAGGTTGCAGGGGCCTTTGTGTTTGGTCTCCAGAAATGGAGTCACACCCAACCCCTAGATTCTCACTGAAATGCAGCCCTCCACAAGATCCATCCTGAACTCCATACCAGTTATCAAATTTGTTATGAACTGGGAGGTCCCTCAGGCTGTGATGCTGGAGACCAGGGGCCACACACACATGTGAACCAGGGCAGAGCAGCCCCACAGATTGGCAGGCCTGAACTGGCTCTACAGCAGGACTTTGAAGGCCTGTAGTATCAGAGATAGGACAAGGGCTAAGGGGTGGAAGACCTCTCCATGATAGATCCAGACTGGGCTGTGGCTCCACCATAAACCCTGAACTTTCATCCTCATTTGCTGCCCTGCCCTGCCACTGACTTGGCCTCCTACTGCTCTGTGGACCATGATCTATGGAAGCCACCTTCTCCGGCACAAAGCTGTCATCTAGCTTCAGGCTCCTGTGCCTTGGTGGAGGAGATGGCAGTGTGCTTTGGTCTCCAGTGGTGATCATGGGGTGAAGCTGCTGAGGGGCCTGCCCTAAGAAACTAACTTGGAGACTGGAGCTCTGCTGAGGGCTGCATGGAGAGCTAAAATCAAGAACTAAACCCTCAGAACTCTTTCCTAAGGAACTTTTGTCTTCTCTTTCCAGAGACCCAGCTCTCTGGGAGACACTTAACTCATTAGTGGCTTGAGAATTATCCATTAATGATCTTGGGCTACCAACAGCAAGGTCAGGACTGATGGCAATCTCCTGGACATCTGTGAGAGAATGAGCTGAAGGAACCAATAGAGTCAAACAGGCTAAGGTGTTGCTCAATTCCTGGGTGCTGGCACTAAATGTAAGGATTGGAGAGGAAGCCCTGTCCACCAGCTGAGCACTCAGGGGTCCTGGCTTCTGGGTATCAGGCTCCTGGGTGAGCTCTGGAGCACCAAGGAAGAGTCCTGAGTGGTGGGGGATGCTGGGACTGTTGACCACCATGGAAGATTCCTCTGGCTGCAGGCTGGGAGGTGGGGAACCATCAGTAGAAGCTGGGGGGCTCACAAAAGTAAGGTTCTGAGACCTCAAGCATGGTGAGGACATGGGAGGGCTCTGCAGTTTATATCGGGTGCTTCCTTCATGGAGATCTTGGGGCTCTGCTGCCTCCTCTGCCCCTCTCTTGTGAAACATTCCTGGGACATCTTCCTTTTCTTGAAACATGGTGATACCTGAGTCCATCACTTCAAGGATCACATTGACTTCCTGAGGCTTGACCTCTGGGGACTGGAAGGACAAAGGAGGTAAGGCCAGGTCCGTCTGGATGCCCTCATCCACTGTGGTCTGAGTAGAACCATCCATCATGAAGGCCTGCGGGGCCTCATCTGGGGAGTTGCTCTTAATGCTCTGCTCCTTTGGGACCACACTTGGCTGTGAGAGACTCCCAAGCAGCTCAGAAGTGCTGTGCAGAAGCTGTGAGAGGTGGAGAGAAAGGTTGTGCATGCTGGTCCAAGAGGCCAATTCAGAGTCTGACATTGTCCTGGCACCAGGCTGAGCAGATATATCAGTGCAACTCCAGTGGAGCCTGCTGCCCAGAGTCTGTGTTCCCTGCTCAAAGCAATTCATCCTGGTCTTCCTCAAAGCACAGGCTGTCTCAGATGGGCAGAGCAGTACAATCTCATCTACTGGAGCTGTGGCACTCCCTCCAGCCAGAGACAGCTCACTCCTCAGACAGCCTATTTCCTCAGAAGAGCCCCTGAATGGGGGTCTCTTGTCAGGATCCAAAGTTGGGGCAACTCCTTCAGAGCCAATCAACATATGGGGCTTCTCCACAGCAAGTGAGGAACTCTGTATTTTCCAGCCTTCGTTTGAACTTTGGTCATTCTCAATACTGTTGCACATGTTTGACAGGTCCTGACTTTGTGTGTAAGTACTGAGATGGGAGTGAAATGGGGATTTCTTGCCATCTAGGGCACTGTTTGTACTAGAGCACTGAGCCATATCCGATGGTATTAAGCTTTGGGGTTTCTGGCTACAAGAGACATCAACTACGCTTCCAAACACGTATTGCTTCCAGCCAATATGCACAGGTTCCTGTGGACACCAGGGCAGGACATAGGGATTTGTGTCACTAGAACCAAAGGGCAGCACTTCTTTGTCCACCTGAGTGTGCCAGTTCTCTGGCATACCCTGGACATTCAGTTTATCTGTCTTTCCTTGATGGGCCTGCTCCAAAGTACCAGGTATCCCCTTAGTCATGAAATCAGGGGTTGGCATACATGACACAGTGGAAGATGTTGGATAAGGAGGAATGACAGGTTTCAGGGGCCTGTGATCAGTGGGGCCATTGTTCACATTACATGGAGCTCTCGGATTGCAATTCTGGGTCTTTGGAGATGTTGACATTGGCTTTTCTGAGCAATGGCCCCTGAGATGTGGGCTCCACAATCTTTTTGGTGCCTGTGCATCTTCATCTGCTGGGAAAGGAGACTCCACACTCAAATTTAATTCATGAAGAGATCTAGATGAGCTGACCACAGAGAAATGAGGTCTAGGGGAGTACCTGGCATGTTTAGGGCCAGAGAAGACTGCAATCACAGGAAGTGAGTGCCTGTGGCGGAGAGCCAGCTGCTCCCTTCCAGAGTAGAGTTGGTCAGGAGTCTGGGCAACAGGCTGGGATGTTTCAGTTTGCCCCAAGGGCAGAGAAACTATGTCTTCAAGGTCTGAAAATAAAGTTTGGGACACAGGAGACTTGGTCACAACTATCTCCACTTTTTCACTATCTCTAGTATGAGAGCCATCAAAGCCACCCTCATTTGAAGATGCTAGATTTCTGACCTGGGCATGGTCTTTGCCATCTCCTGAAGCCTGATCTCTTTGTTGCTCTTCTTCCTCCCACGAAGTCTCAATCTGAGTGTGGCAGGTGTGTTTTAACATATCTATAAAATTGGCTTGGGAACCCATGCAACTGTGACCCCTGACCTCAGTGGAAGGTTGTGTCTTTTCTGAACAGCATCTGGTGATGCTTCCTAAATGTCCATACTGAGCTGCTATCACCACCTCACCATCGACAGATCCTTCATTTAAATTTAGGGTATGAGGTCCTTGAATCACCACAGGAGGTTCTGACTTGGCTTGCAAAGCCTGTATATTCTCCCCTACAGAGTTATCCTTCAAAGTCTTCAGTGGCTCAGAGTGCGAGCATACAGGACTGGGTGGATAAGCATCCTGAATGCTAGCCTTCTTCCCTGAAGTCCTTTTCTCAGAACTTTCAACTGACTTTCCACCAGCAACTGCATGGGTGAGACAATTTGCCTTCACTTCCGAGGTGGAAGGAGGATAGCAGCTTTGAGCTGGAGAGGAGACAGCAGCTGCAGTGGATAGGTTGGGAATGCTGCTGTCTACAGGCCCAAATTCTACATTAACACATTTGTGCTTAAGGTCATGTTCCAAAAACACCTGAGAGTCTTTGGGAAAGCTCTCTATTGTTCCGTCCATTTCACAGGCCTTAGATGGTACTATGAAATGTGAGTAGGCAGGATGTGGAGCAGCCCGAGGAGTTTCCTTCCTAAGGAAACCATCTTTATAACATGGCAGAGTGGAGGGATGAGAGCAGCAGGCATGAACAGCAGTAGGTTGAGAAGCAGTTAGTTGAGGACAAGGAACAGTTCTGTTCTCTTCCTCCTCATAAGATAAGCCAGGTGGTCTGCTGCCTCCAGTGCTACCCTCAAAGACAAGGCACTCTTCTGGGCACAGACCTGGAGTGTCTTCCTTAACTCTGCAAAGATGCAGGATAGGTCTTTGATCTAGCAATGACCTTGGAGTCTTGCTGTCAGCCCCACAGACTTCTGCCAGGCCAGAGTCAACATGTTTCTGCTTGATAGGATGCCACCTATGCGCTTCTGCTTCAACCTTTCTAGGAGCTCCTGGATGAACAGCATATGACTTTGGACTTGCTTTCATTTCTTCAAAGCCAGTAGAAGCATCCAAGCACTGGATATGGTCTTGCTTAGACCCTGAGAGGCCTATAGAATTACCAACACTACAGATCGCAGACTGACATTCAGAATGGACTGCTTTTCTTTCCTGTGTGGTCACTAAGATTTTACCTGAGCCTCCTCCACATGTACCATCTGGACTTCTAGGTTCCTGATACTCTGGGATGCAGTCCTGACTATCAAAGGATATACCCGCTGCAGTTTTCCATTCACCTAACTGACTTTGCCCATGCATAATCCTGTCAGGATCATCACAAGAAGTTTGAGAAGGTAAGACAGACACTTTCTCTGATCCTACCTTCCTGTCCTGCTCTACAGCTGGTGTAGAAAGAAGCCTGTCTGGGGCCAAAGGATCAACAGAGGACAGTGTTCTGGATGTTCCTTTCTTTTTCTTTATGACTTCAGAAGAATCAGACCATCCACTCACTCCCCTTGGTTCTCCAGTACAATGTCTTTTTTTGAGATCTGTGACGACATGGGGAGAATCCAGTAAATGATGCCCTGGTCCTCTGTCAGTTTCAGGATTGGGCAGATGCTGAAAGCCCCCTGCACTGGGAGGCGTGGCTTGGGCTTTCCTCTCAGCAGCCAACAGGTCTGCAGACACAGCAGATGGAGAAGCTACATGCAGTCCTTGGGCTTCACCCTCAGTCCTGGTGTTGTCCCACCCTAACTTAACTATTTTCTTCCCAGGCCTACGAGAAGCCTCCGAAAAACACTCTTCTTGTGAAGTCTCACAAGAAAGGACTGTCCCCTCAGCCGCAAAGTCATTAAGCTGCTTCCTTTGGGCTTTTGCCTGTCTAATCTCTGCCAAGATAGCCAGACATATGGATGCGTGGATAGAGGAGTCGGGTAGGGGCAGAGGCTCTGGATCAGGTGCCCTCAGGAGAGACGAAGATATTAAGCCAGCACTGCTAGCAGGCTGTTGGTCTTCGGACGTCTCTGCCTTCTGCCTTTCCTCCTCACCATGGTCACTGTCTTCTTGTAAGAGGAAACTAACCCTCTTCTCAGTCTGCCTTGAAACCCCATGCAAGGAACTGGTTTTTATTTCTTTTTGTACAGTTGCCTCATATTCAGAACCCAAAACTTCTTGGGTAGCCAAACCTATTGAAGTGACTCTGAAGTCCCCTCTCTGGTGTTCTTGGGGGCTAGTGCTTACTGCTATCCAGTCCTCTGCCTCTATGCTCTCTGGTGTAACAGACTGACCATTAGCTCTCATGACCATGGGTGTCACAGATCCACACCAGGCAGTGTGTGCAGTGGAAGCATCCCCTGTAACACTTCCCTGTGGGATACTGCTTCTGGCCCCTCCACTATAATCCTGATGCCCTACTCCAGTTGCCAAAGAACTTCTATTAATTTTCAACATTGTAGGCTCTAACATGTACTCAAATAAAGACATGCCTTTGGTATCGGAGGCATACAAACAGCCTCTTGGCAAGCTTGGAGAATGCAAGGGTTGAGTAGCACTTCGTTCTGCATAAGGAAGAGCTGCAGAAAAGCCTGTTTGGTTATGGTATGGGGAGACAGTCTCCTGGCTGGAAAATGTGCCCTTACACTGATGGCTTGGAGCAGAAAGTTTCTGGGTCAGTGAGATCATATTCTCTTCTTGTAGGTTCCCTCTCTCTTCCATTGCCAGTTCTTCAACTCTCCCATGAGCTTTTGTATCCTGTAACCTTGAATCACTTGGGAGTTCAACAATTTGGCTTTCTTGAAAACTGTCCATGGTCTCTGGTTCCTCAAGATTTCCCAAGGTCCAAGCCTGGTCTTGGAAGTCTGCTGATGCTTTTAGATGGTCATCATCCTGCTCAGGAGAGCTCTCTACACTGGGCTGCAATGGTAGAGTTCTAGCTAACACTTCCATTCTCCTTGAGTGAAGGGAAATGTTGCTAGGCTCTCTAAGAGTTATGCTCTTCCCCAAAGAATCACACGTATTCTTGGCAAGTCCCTCTACTCCAGGTGGTGGGTGTGAGTGTTCACTCTCAGACTGTTTCTTTTGTGCATATCCCCCTAATCTGAAGGGGCTTCCTACGATTTTCTGAGCCTGAGCATTATTACTGGCAGCATTGTTACCCTCCATTTCCTTACCTTCCCTGTCTCCAAAGATACCATCCTCTATCTGTATTGGAAAAGATGGCTGATTATTAAAGAATAAATGTTTTCCAGAACTTTCTGGAATCAGGACATGGTCAGCCCTCTCCTGGTCCTGTAGGGCTTGGAGCATAAACTCTGTACTTGGTGTTTGGGAAGCATGAAGCTGCTTGTTATGCTTGGATTCGATTTCTAAGATGCCAGTTTCCAGCTGCATTACACTTCTCATCAGCCTAGCCATTTCATCAGCATTGTTAACTCTCTTGCTCTGTTTCTCTCCCAAAGGTTCTTCTTTGGACTTTATTTCTTGTGACTGCCCATGGGCCTTGCATACAAGAGGCTTTCTTTCCTGAGAACACATAACCAGATGGCATCTTTCACAGGTATACTGGGTTCCTGAAAGACTGGACTCTTCTTGGATGTCTTTGGAAATCACTTCCCTGAGAAGCACAGTTTCATTTCTCTCTTCCCACTTGTGAGTTGGATTCCCACCTCCTGCCATGATCACAGGGCTGCATACTCGACAGTGGAGTGATCTGGATTCCAAAGAAACAGCCGTTTCCTCTGGTATTACCTTCTTCAGGTCTAAACTGGTGATTTTACCAATGAAATCAGACCTGGTTCCAGAAGACTGGCTGTGCACACCACAGGCCTGCACCTGTGGTGGGAGTGGGCTCTGTTCTTCCCCTCCTGCCTTGGAATCACAAATGAAAAGCAAAGTCTTTGACTCAGTGCCATCAAAGGCAACACTGCAGTGATGCCATGCAGAGGCCCCTTCTCCTTCCTTGTGGACCGAGAGGCTGTACTTTTTATTTAAAATTCCAAGTTGATTTCCACATTCACAAACTTTAAGGCTGGTAGAAGGGAGATGATGTCTATTATGAGAAACAAAACAGTAAGCAGAATCGAGGTTTCCTTCCTCACTAATATTGCTAGAGCATTTCTCCAGTTCTTCAGTAACAACTTCTGTGTTCAGATTAGTTGGCCTCTTTGTTGTCACCTGCTGATATGAGTCAATCTTGGAATTCTGGCTACGTGACAACTTGGGTAAATTATTCTTCCAGTAAGTTTTCTGGAGGACTTGATAGCTATGACCAAAGCCCCAGGCTTCCCTGGGGGGTGGGGATGGTACCCAGGCTTCCCTGCAGGCTGGAATCTCTAAGGCAGTTTCTGTCAGGGCATCCCTGCTTTTGGTTACATAGAATGTTTCCAAGGGAGGAGGCTGCAGAGAAGATGGGAAAGGACTCCAGGGAGCAGAGTGCAGGAACAGCTCTGGACCTGAAGGGGGAGTGCAAGAAGTGTCTGTATGTGCTCCAGCTGTTTCCTTGGCTTGCTGCTGAGAATCTGGCTTCTCTTCCAGCAGTGGGTGTGGGTGGCTGTGGTGACTTAACACTCTTGGAGGGACAGCAGTGTTTTTCCTGAGAAGAGCCCCATCTTGGGGCCACTGGTCTGCTTTGGTGGCTAATGTATCATGATTGTGATAAGCCTTCTTCTGGAAGAAACACTGCCCAGAGGAAGTTGTCAGCCCAGGGTTCTTGCTACCCTGAAGGAACCCTTCCAAGCTGGCCTGTTTGACGTCCCATGCTTCTGTCACATAATTTGGTATCTTGTTTCCTGTTGTACAGCTCTGTGCATTGATAGATCCAGAAGTCAGTGATTCTAGGTCTGTGGAGTATGCCCCATTATTACTCACCTTCTCGACAGTACTCAAGAGATCAGAAGCACTTTCTAAGTTGGCACTCAAACTATCATGGTCTTTCTCAGCTCTTAAGTGCCTGATTTTTGACAGGTGGACTGGAAAGTAGCTGAAATCTAAATTTTTAGATATCCCAGAGCCAACTGGCAAGTGAGTATCTACTTTTTCAGAAGCTTCAGCCAGGGAGCTAGAGTCTTCCTCCAGGAAGGAGAAAGCTGGCCTGGGTTCTCTCACAGCATCCAAAACAGAATTAGAGAGTTCAAGGAGATATTTTTGCTGAAGAGCAGCCCAGTCCTTCTCACGAATAGTGCCTACATGAGTCAATGAGGTGGCAGAGGGAGCCAGCACACTTGACATGTCAGAATTGTGTGACTCTTCAGAAATGCCCTGGTAGATCATGTCAGAAATTTCTTTGCCCTGAAAGACACAATCAACTGGCTGAAGGAGCCTTTGACTTCCACAAACTGAAGGCTTGAATGTATCAGAAGTAGAGGTTGTGTACAAATCTGAACTGCAGGGTGGCTGCTCAGCACTGCCTTGGAGCAGTTTGCAGCTATGTGGCAGGACTGTACTTGGTGGTGTTACTTCTTCGATGTTTAGCCAGTGTCTAGGCATCTCATTATAGGGCTGAATTTCATGTACATCAGGACTTGGACATAAAGACTGTACAGTTGCTGAGGGGCTGCTGAGATTGACCTTAGAGTCACAAGAAAACCATGAATCCACAGATACCAGGGGGCTCTCTCTTGCAAGCTGCATGCCTTGGAGAAAGTTGGCTTGTTCGGAATAGTTTGCCGCCATTTCTGACTCAGGCTGCTCACAGTGGGGCTGGAAATGAGGATCAAGGTAAAATGAATTTCTCTTTGGCTGGAAGGCATTTGGCCTGACTCCTGTTCTGTGGTTGACAGGGCTAGGCCTGCATGTTGCCTCCTGGTCTACTGCAGCTAGGGTGGCCTTCTCCAGGTGCCAAAAAGTCTCTGTAGGCATCTCATCAGCAGAACCAAGGAAAGGCTCCTCCTGCCTGTCTTCTTCCAGTTCCTCAGCATCAATCAGGCTGTCCAAGGAAAAGCTCCTATGTGCTAGAGCACATAAGCTACTGTCAGAGGGCTTGGGGAGGTGTCTTATAGAGAATGAAATTCTGGCCCTTGACTGCCCATGGTCCACGGAGGAATATTCACCCCCTGAGTTTTCTGGGGGGCTTTGGTACCCTTTCTCGGCAAGTGAATCCTCAGATATTTGACTGTTGTCACTTTCAGAGCTTTCTTGATCTGGAAGATTCCATTTTTCCTGAAGGTCTTCTGGCTTCTGCAGCTCCTTTGGGACTTTAGCATAGACGTAAGAGAGAGAATCCACTGAGTAACTGCTATCAGTGTCAGATAAATCATTGTCCTTTTCTCTTACACAATCTATCATAGGTCTGGAATCTGTGAAGGAGGCCAGAGTGTCTGGATTCCCTGTACTAGGTTGTCTTTTTAAAGGACTACCATGAGGCAAATGAGAGAACTTTTTAGCAACGTCTCTGCCCCTAGCTGGCAGCACCATCTGGTGTTTTTTTGATGTCCTAATTGGAGGAGATGGTTTGGATTCTGCCTGAAAAGTCTTGACTACTTTCCCATGCCCAGCTGCTTGCTCAGATTCACTGAGATAAGTAGAGTGGGAAGTGGTTTCCTTAGGAGGCTTGTAGGTCTCACAGCTCCCTTCTTCTTGCCATCCAATTTGTGTGTTGACAGAGACTACTAGTCCCTTAGCCCTTCTAGCCTGTGTAGCAGTGGTCCTTGAACCATCTCTTGGCTTTAGCTTCTTAGTCACTAAGCCCTGGGAGGACATCTGACAGGGATGCTTGCCCAATGTCTCAGTTTCCTGGATGTTGACAGACTCGTGACTCACAGTGAGACAGGAGACTCCCCTTCTGGTTGAGGCTCCCCTGGTTGGATAGAGCTTTCTCCAGCCTGATAGATGGAGGCTGTTCCTGCCCAGGCACCCTATCCTTGGAGGGTAAGCAGTAACTTGGGGGATGGAATCTGCTGATAGGGTTTTCTCTGGTATTTGGTGAGTCAGGTCAGGCACAGGTGGTGATATGGTGGAAGGATTCCAGTTCATGAAAGCACTGTGAAGATAAGGAAAGCCATTTCAGAAAAGTAATGTCCTATCATTAGAAGGAATATGGCATTCCACTTGGTTGGCTTGAAAGAAGGTGGGAAGCAGGCAATATCACTCACTGTATCCTACAGTCCTCAGCTTGATACATACAGAAGCAAACTGTTGACAACAGAGCCCTGGCTTTCAGAAGTCTCAGATACATACTGTCACTCAACCCCTACCCTCAACTGCTATTGTAGGAAACTTAAATGAATTATATTTCAAGAAATTAGTTATGTAAGGAAAGCAGGAACAATTTTAAAACTATAAAGGCCCAAGCATATAAATCCATGAAATGGGACCACTTACAGAACTGACCCCTTCTACACACTGATAAGAAATAGGAAAGAATGACTATGAGAACTTCAGACTTAACAGTGGCAGGCAGTATATAAATCCAACTAGATCTTGATTTGAAAAATCAAAACACACTTGAAGCCACTTGGGAAAACAGAGTGTGACCCAAGTTTTAGATTCTATCAAGCTATCAACCTTGACCTTCGTAGATATGATTTGGTAGGTATGACAGAATGCATCTTTAGAGGTACATTCTTACAGATGTGATGTTAAAATGACATGATGTTGCTTTAACTACTTGGGAAGGGAGGGTGGTAGGGCTAGAAATGAAGGGGCACACCTTTCTAGTTGCTGAAAATAGGTGCTGTATAAGTCACTCCACTTTTTGCATGTTTAAAGTTTTTCTATAATTAAAAGTTGTGTTTTCTGCCCAGTTATTTAAAGAACAGAGAGGTGAGCAAGAAGACCAGTAACAGACACCGTGTGATTCTTCTGGGCAAGGCAAAGGATTCACAGAACAGGTTGTGTGGTTCTACTCCAAGGAATCTGGGAGATAATAATATGCTTCCCATCCTGTGACAGCAGAAAGGGAGAGAGGAGCTGAGGCAGATCCAAACATGAACCCGGGAGTCATGAGGGAGTTCAGGGAAGAGGCAGTCTGTAGAATCAAGGAAGCCTGTGGAGTAGGACATAGAGGAAGCTGCATCTAGACAGTCTAGGTCTAAAACACACATGCAAATAAGGCAAGTTCCTTCAAAAGAAGAAATGATCTGGGAGCAAGAACAGTTCTGCAAGAACAAGAACAGCCTGATTGTATAAAGATATGCAGACAAAGGAGAGAAGCCTGAAGGACCGGAGGAAGAAACCTGCCTCTCCACCTCACAGCTGAAGAAGCCCTGGGGAGTAAAGAACACTGCCCAGTTAACTCCAGCCACTGCTCCTGGTGCACGTCACTGGTACCTGTGAGGCTGGGACAAGCGTTGGCTGCAGAGCCTTTGGAGGCTCAGAGAGCTGCAAGTTGTCCATTTGCTTCTACTCTGAGAACCTGGTCCTGAGGTGTTAGAGCTGCAGACACAACTTGGAGCCTTGGAGGCACCATCATCCTGGAGCCAGTAGAATGCCCTGAGCTGTTCCAGTCTCCTTTGGGTCTCTAGTAGCCTCCGCTTCTTAATAATTCTCTCCAGCTGGAATGAAACCTTTTTCTGCCTGATGTTCCACACTGTAGCCCAAGAAGTGCGTCTCCCCAAGCACTGTAGCTGTACCACCCTCTTCTGGCTTTGAACCAGTGTGGATGGTAGAATCTGAGGAACTGTTGGAAGACAAACATCAGGTGCCACTAAGGCCTCAAGTTCTTTCTCTTCTCCACTGTTGTCTTCTTGCTGTATCTCCTGTAAGGTGGCTAGCCAGGTCTCTCCTCTGAGACGCCACTGCTGGTCTGGGAACCAAAAACACCCAGAGAGAAGGTCAACACTTTCTGCCTATGGCTGCCTGGACTCAGACATCTCCAGCTATGGCCAGAGCTGTGAGGAGTAAGAAGGGTTGGATAGAGTGACGTGGCAAGTGAGAACTACAGGGCTTTCTTACTGAAGGGGAAAGAAAGGAAGATGTGTAGGCCTCAATATAACAGTGGACAAGTGGGGCAGGCAGAAATGCACGGACAAGCGCATCGCTGGAGGGAGCCAGCAGAAGGTGCATCATTCTGAGGGGCCATGGAGAAGTCCACTTGCTTATTTCCAGCCCCCATGTATGAGCTTCTGGTCTCTAAAAGAAGGGAGAGAACTCCCAGTACAAAGGATTCCATCATATCATAAAGACAACAAAGAACAGAATACAGAAGGTTGGCAGCTTAGAACTGAAGAAGGCAGGTAAAGCAGACACCTTAGACAAAGACACCTACTGTCTTTTATCTTCTGGCTGTTATGTGTCTTGTCCCATTCTGGTTCCTTCTGAACTCTACTCTGACCTATGTCTTGCTGTCTCAGATCCTCCACATAGCACTGCTGTTGCTCAGTCTGGGCTCTGTGGGATATCTTGCCATTTCTTGATGTCTGCTGGTTCTTTTCACTCTCCTCTTGTAGCACTTTCCTGTGACAAAAGTCCACCCTAGCAAACCAAACTCAGGACAAAGGGGTGGGAGACTTAAGTGCCTCTGAGAGTACTTGTGAATTCAACAGGGTAGAAAGGACTTAAGACATCTGGCAACTTGAACCAAATAGGTGTGTTGTCACAGGCAACTCATGAAGTCATAGTACAGGAACAGAGAATAGTCATTTAACTACCATATTCTTAGAATTGTGAGTTTACCAGAAACCCAAATTCACTTTCATAAGGAAATCATGAGAGTAAAACAATTTTTTTGTTAATTTTTTTGTTTATTTTGTTTTTGAGACAGGATATCTCTATGTAGCCCTGGCTGTCTGGGAACTCACTACACGGAACAGGCTGGCCTTGAACTAACAGAGCTCCACCTGCTTCTGCCTCCTGGGTTCTGGAATTAAAGGCAAATGCCACCACACCTGGCTCATAAGGAAATCAGAAGAGTAAAACAAATGTTAAAGGTACAGAAAGCTGGGTGTGGTAGGACATGCCTTTAACCCTAATGTTCTGATGGCAGAGGCAGGAAGTTTATGAGTTTGAGGTTAGTTTTCCTGTCTCAAAAATAAGTACAATGAAAGACAAAAAAAATATGCTTTAGCTAAATCAAGCAGCTCTACCTAGGCTGGGAAGATGGCTCAGTGGATAAAGCATTTGCCATGTGAATATGAGGACCAGGAGTTGGATCCCCCAGAATACACATAAAAGCCAAGCAAGCATGATAGCTACCAGGAATCCCAGCAGAGGATCCCCAGGACAAGTTGACTAGTCTAGAATTAGAAGTTCTGGGGTCAGTGAGGGACCCTGCCTCAATAAATAGAGTGGAGTCATTGAGAGACACTGATGTCAACTTTAGGCCTACATACACACACATACCCCAAACATGTGAACACATACAGAAGAGCTCTATCCTTTAAAAATGAAAGAATTAAGGGTTTCTACTAAAATTCCCCCAGGAAATACAGAAAAACTTCAGAAATACTGGGAAGAAAACAATGTTAACCCAAAATATTTTGTACGTATATTTACATGTCATGCTTGTATTACTATTTCAAACTTGAGCCACAGTAATGGCTGAATTATAAACATAAACCCATCAAGTGAGGCTTAGATAAGCCCAGCTAAAACATATAGAACACCTAATTCAAGTGGCAGAGTGGGGACCCAAGTGATCTGAACCCCCTGGGTTACTCAGTTTCTTTCCCCGAGTGTTTCCCCAGTGCTCAGGTTACAACTTGTTTTTTCACAGGAGAGTTCTCATCCCTTCTAAGGAGGCAACAGCTGCAGCAGTTCTGCATGGGGCTGCAAGGAAAACTGTACAGGATGACAGGGTGCTTACCCAAGCTGCCACACAGCCTCAACCAGAAGGATGCCCTGCAGTACATTTTTCAAGTTCCCTGGTAGCTAAGGACCAACATCTAACAATGGCTGCCTTTCATCTTAGGTAATTCCAGCATTCCTGGTATACTGACTGGTCACCTTGCCAGGACTCTGCTGTACCCTCTACTCTCTCTGGTGATTGACCTCTACAAATCCAGGGACCTCACAGAGTCTGCAGCAGAATTTAGTGGTGGCTAGTTGCTACTGTAGCAGCAGTGAGAGCTTCTGTGTTCTAGACATTTAAAGATAAGCCCCCAATCCCCAACCCCAAATGAGAAACACAAAGAACACAGGCAACAGTCTTTGAAGATAAAATTCCTCCTTGGTCCAGATCACTACTACAAGGAGAAAATGGCCAATTTCCTCCAGCTTAGAAAAAGCTCTGGCCCTCTGAAATGCTCCCCCAGTGATAAATGATAGGCAGCAGCCAGGACGAGGCAGCCCTGGAGCCAAGTCCAAGTAACAGTAGAAGGAAAGACTGCCCACAAATCCAGACTGGGTCATGCAATTTCCTCTGTCAGTTCCACTCCCTGGCCTCTTCGTTCAGTCATTAGCTTGAGCACCATACCACCTGTCCAAGGGCTGGCACCAAATGCTGGCTACAGTAGATGGATAGGCCCGGCACAGGCTGCAGGCCCCTCAACCTGGTGCTGAATGGTAGGGGCGGTCCATGGGAGAGGGCTGGATTCTGAAGTCCTTCACTGTCCTCCAGATAAAAGAGCAAAGCCATGCCAGCTCCCATGGAGCTGAGGAGCACTCTGGGGAGGATGGTGAGCTGCCTGAGACAAGAGGACAAGGAAGAAAGGAAAGCAGCTTTCCTGGGCAGCTCGTACCTAGAGCCTCACAGTCATTGGGGACATGGGCCCATTCAACTCCTTTAGTCCTTATCACAGGATCCCTGGGAAGTGGATAGCCACACACTCTAGAGGTAAGGAAACAGGCTGAGAGTAAGTGACTTGCCTGAGATCACTCAGCTTTTATGTGGTAGGGTCAGATATGAATCTGTTTACCAAATTCCAATGCACCTTTTCTATATCCATAGCTCTTTAAGTTGCAGTGTTGTTCCCTCTAAACTCTGCACTCTAAGAAAAACCAGGCCTTCCATCTGTCTTACTAGAGAAACCTTACCCGAAACAAAGTCTCCTTCAAAGCTTCCCCACAAACAAGAAAACCCTCTCTGAGAAAACAAGAACTTCAGGCTTAGTCCCAAATTCTTCTTGGCCTTGGTACCTTGTGTCAGCTTTTCCAACTTGCCCTTCACCACACAGGACCACACTCCCTTAAACCTCTGTTGTAGCAAAGTTCAACCTGTGAGCAGCTCTGTGAGGGTGCATCGCTGCTCATCCAACAGCTCCCATTATCAGTGTCAGACCAAGTCTATGTTCCTCTTCCATCTAATGTTCCTCCAAAGAGGCCAAGAACCACAAGAACCTGCTGTGAATCCTGTGTTGGAGGTGCTTGGTGGTCTTGCTAGTGATCTCACTGGTACCAAGTCCCCTGTTAAACTTTCCTACAGTTAGACATGATGGTACTGGTCAGTCTGGCTAAAAGGAACAAAAGAGCTTCCAGGACAAACCCACCAGGTATCCAGGCTGAGAAGGAGATTCTATATGGAAAGAATAATGATGAAGTAGAAAACCAGCTGCTGTCAACTGCATATAAAACTAACTCAAGACTTCATTTATCACAAAGCAGGTGAAGCAGGAGCGAGGGCGGAATCTCAAGATGTTTTCTTATTGTACTCATAAGTCCTGTTCCCTTATATGCATAGCTCTGCATTGTTGGTTATGAGAGAATAAAGAAGGAATTCATTCTTTAGAATCCAGAGGAAGCCATATATTCTGGAAGCTAACAGATACATATTATGAGCTCATGCACCAGGATTTAAAGGGAACCCTGGGGAAGTGAGATTTAGAAGCAGTACCAGAGATGTATGCTAACACCTCCGGGTTAAATCTTGTTGACAGGGGAGATACATATCTTTCAGAGAAAAGAATGAAAACCAAGCAGGAAGCAAATGAGGGTCATGGCTACCTCCCTGCCAGCTACAAACTCAGCAGCCAGCTCAGCATTTTCAGATTACTCACAGTTTTTCGTAGCCGGAGCAAACACTTGAGAGAAATGGCTTGAGAAAGGGTTCATCCTAGCCCCCAGTTCAGAGGTCCCAGTCTATGGGAGACCACCTCCACAGCTTGGGCATGAGCATGCTAGGGAGCATATGTGGTGGTGTAAAGCAGCGGCTTGCCTCATGGCTAATGGGAAGTGGAGAGGGGGCTGGAGGAGGATGTGGAGAACAATGCACACCCAAGTATACACCTCCAGTAACCTACTTCCTCCATTTCCACCCTACCTCCTAAAGGCTCTGGACCCTCAAAAGTCATGCCACAAGATGGAGCCTGGAGGGAACATTTTATTTTCAAGTCATCACACCTGCCCAAGTCAATCTGGAGCAGACTTGTTCTGACTGTAGTTATTATACAAATATTTCCCAGTTCCACCCAGTTCCATTCTGTTCTGGACTAAGAAGCAAACCCAGGAGACTCCACTGGTACAAGCAACAGACTCTTACCTCTCCTTCCAAAGCACAGGACAGAGACCCAGTCTTGAGGCAGTGACATCTCCATCCAAGTTCAGCCACTCCAAAGAGCCACTGCTGCCAAGAGCCTCTCCAACCTGAGATATGGCGTGGGGGGGGGGGGGTGAGCCCAAAAGCAGTGTGGAAGCTTCCCAAACAGCCACTCAGAAATCAAAGCCCTACTGACCTGAAGCCTGTGGTGCCTCAGTAAAGCAGCCTCAGCTGGGTGGTTAAATCGGAATTTCTGTGCTTTCCCCAGTATTATGACAGCTCCTTCAACACACAGACAAACAAGAGTTTAGTCCACAGCCGGGCGTTGGTGGCGCACACCTTTAATCCCAGCACTCAGGAGGCAGAGGCAGGCAGATCTCTGTGAGTTCGAGGCCATCCTGGTCTACAAAGCGAGTTCCAGGAAAGCCTCCAAAACAATACAGAGAAACCCTGCCTCGAGAAACCAAAAAAAAAAAAAAAAAAAAAAAGAGTTTAGTCCATGATTGTGCACAGAGTACATAACTGTGAGATAAACTAATGCCTACAACAAGTTGATAATTTTGTTAAATTGATATGTATTTTATACATCTCACAATTATAATCAAATAAACAGCAAGTTCCAGGTAGGGTAGTTGGAGAAGCTTCATGAAGAGGCAGACTCTGAGTTCAGCTTCAGACAATGGGATTTTAGTACTAGAGGCATATTGATGTCAAGTCGTTATAGCACACTACCAAGAAAGAAAAAAGCAGACTTCATCCAATCCTGACCTATGCTCCCATTATCACAGATGAAGAAGAAATTGAGGCTCAGATAAACAAGTACAAATTTCCATGAGTCATTCTCTACTCTTGGGTCCTAGAAGGAGGAGGATCATATTAGGAAATCTTCAGGTCTCTGGGTGCAGAGGTTGAGTAACACATGACTGAAGCTTGCTTTACTGAGACCCATGAGATTGAAGATATCCATAATTAGCCAGATATAGACAGTCCTACCTTGTGTGAGACGGCAGGAAGCAGTGACCTCTCGGCCATTGACTGCACAGCGTGCCCCTTGGGTAGGCCGGAGAATGACCACTCCACAAGTGCTAGTGATCGTGCAGTGGTCCCTCTCAATCCACTGGCCCTGAAGGACTAAAGAGGTAGGACAAGGGATAACCTGAGTGGGGACATCATTCAGGAGAATGCCTCTCCCAGTTTTTACAAGATTCAACTCAACAGCTGGACTACTTCCCATTGTAACAAAAAAGGAACATCCACCGCCTGAAACCACCCAGAGCTGGAAGTCTCCCTGTGTATAAGCCTCCTTCTTCCAACTCCCAGACCCGAAAGCTAGCAGCAGAAAGAAAAGCAGACCCTTAACACTTCAGAGACTCCTTTTATCTCCAAGACCATCAGCTTCCTTTAGTAACCCTTTCAGGAACAAACAGCTGCCCATGTGTCAGACTACCTACCGATGTCCTGTTCCTGGTCTGAATCAATTCTTCCTATTTTTGTTGTCCCTTCCTATGGGGAGGAAAGAAAGGAGACATTTCAATAAGAATTAAAAGAGAACATAGCCCTGTCCTCAAAGCACAGTCCATATTTGTGTATAATCAGTGTCTTCCCATGCTCATCTCTGCATTGTTAGAACCATTTCCCAACTTCAGTCTAGGCTGTCCTGACCTTCCATCTACTTGCTCTGCAGTCCAGGAGGATAGAGGCAAACTAATACTAATAGTAATGCACAGCCCAACAAGTGCTGACAAACTCTGGTCAGGGAATAGATATAGCTGTTGGTCAGAAATTCTCTAGTAAAAAGACATATACTTTATTCTCAAAGCAACTAAAGTTAGTGTGGCCTGTGTTCGATCCAGGAGACTAGGAGACTTTTTATAAAAATTCATGAATTGTTACCTTCTTGCTCTGCAGAGGAAGCATAACAGATGCCAAATTCTATGAAGGGTAAAGCACAAATAGGGGCAAGGTGTCTCTAGAATCAAAAGGAACTGGAAGAGAGTAGGAGAGAGCACAGGCAACCAGTGTTAATATAAGCAAACCACTCAATTAGTAGAGGACTAGGGCCTTTGGGTCTTAGATTATGACAAATCTATAGACCATACACTCTATTAAGTAGGTGGAGATATGATGACAAAGATGCTAACTTGAAAGCCTATCTTCACCTTCCTTAAGTAACCACTTGCTATGTCCTAGGTATTATACTGAATATTTTGTAGACATCTTCTTTTTGTTTGCCTGCCCCCCCACCCCAGACAGGGCTTCTCTGTGTAGCTTTGGAGCCTATCCTGGAACACACTCTATAGACCAGGCTAGCCTCAGACTCATTTACCTCTACCTCCCAAGTGCTAGGGTTAAAGGTGTGTGCCCACTATGTAGCCTGGACTGGCCTTGAACTCTCAACTTCCTGCCTCAGTCTCCCATCATTTACAATGATGCTTGACTTTATTTAATACTTTAACAACCCCAAATGCTGCAAATTCTGGTGTTACTGTTTCTTTTTCTTTCTTTTTTTTTGGGGGGGGGAGGTTGTTTTGTTTTCCGAGACAGGATTCTCTGTGTGTAGTCCTGACTGTTCTGAAACTCAACTCTGTAGACCAGGCTGGCTTTTAGCTCACAGAGATCTGCCTGCCTCTGCTTCCTGTGTGCTGCAATCAAAGGCGTGTGCCGCCACCACCACCACCTGACTTACTGTATCCTTCTTATAGCCTTTTTTTTTTTTTTTTTTTTTTTTGGTTTTTCGAGACAGGGTTTCTCTGTATTGTTTTGGAGGCAGTAGGTCCAGCCCAGCCTCGAACTCACAGAGATCCGCCTGCCTCTGCCTCCCGAGTGCTGGGATTAAAGGCGTGCGCCACCACTGCCCGGCCGGGGCCGCTTCTTATAGCCTTCTTATAGGCCAGAAATCTGAAGCTCATAGGGAGTAAATTGTCTAGAAAACCCATTTGCTAAATAGGAAAGCTGTGGCTACAATTCAGGTGTCTGAATCCCCAGCCCATGTTGTATTCAGCCTCACCATAACACCTCCCTAGTGGAAGGTTTTCAAAGTGACTGAAGTTACCACTAGGTCACACTTTCAGCAGCAAGAACAGGGAGACCTTGTAGGTTTCCCAAGACAGCATGTGAATCCTGGGAGCAATGATGCTCTGGCTTGCCTTATGCTCCTCTACCTCTCCTCCTTGAATACAAGTCAACGGTTGCCAGCTTCTACCAACACTGTCAAGGGAGGAGTGTGATGGCTGATCTTGGTTGTCCACTTGACTACATGTGGAAACAACCAAAACCCTAGCAGCTGGCCACAGTTTTAGGATCCAATCAAGGAAATCCTTTGAGGTGAGAAGACCCAGCCTGTGGTGGTTTGAATGAGAATGGTCCCCACATTATCATATTTGAATGCTGGTTGCCAGTCAGTGGAACTTAGGGAGGAATTAAGAAGTATAACCTTGTCAGAGAAGGTATGTCACTGGGCTTTGAGGTTTCAACAGCCCACACCAGGCCCAGTCTTTCTCTCAGCCTTTCAGCTTTTAGATAAGATGTGAGTTCTTTGGGCTACTGCCCCAGTGCCATGCCATGCCTCCCTGCCTGCCACCATGCTCCCTGCCAGGAGGGTCCTGGACTCGCCCTCTGAAACTGAAAGGAAGTCCTCAATTAAATGCTTTCTTTTTATAAGTTGACTTGGTCATAGTGTCTCTTCAGAGCAATAAAACAGTAACTAAGACACACTCTAAATGTAGGCCACACCTTCTGGTGTCAGCCCAGATGAAGGGACATGGAAAGAAGCTCTCTGCCTTTTTGCTTGTTTGTCCTCACTCCTGTTGGCAAGTTCATTTACTCTGCTACTAAGGCATTCCTTCACTGGTATTACAACCTACTTCTTCTGGATTCTAACATAGTCTTAAGACCAGATGAGTCTTTGTGGACTGAGTAACTACTGGATTCTTGGCTTTCCTGTTGGGAGACCACCACTGTTGGACTAGTTGGACCACTAACTGTAAACCACTCTAATAACTGCCCTACCACACACCCATTTAATCAGTACTATTTCTCTAAAGAACCCTGACTAATACAAATAGGTTAAAACTCTTCATGTTAGTTCAGGGACTCTTAATGATGGAGTGCATTCCTCCCAAAAGGATAAGGGCCACAGAATATCATGAAACTATGACCAAAAAGTGATGAGCTCTCAGATAACAACACTTAGGTAACCCCTGTGTTTGCTGTTCTTTTCACCTCTTTCTGCAAGCAGTTAGTGACACAAAGATAATTATAAGTCATTACAAGGTATCAGCCATCTCTGCTCTATCCACTCAGCCTGTTTCACTAAGGAGCTTTCCAATGTGTCCCAAGAGAAAATCATTTACAGGGTATTACCAAGGGACTAGTTTCAGGTCTGTGACCAAGGAAGCAAAGCAACTAAGTAAAAAAAAATGCATAGAATCTTGGATCACTACTATTGTATACTTATTTAAGCCACAATCAAAGCAAACCATAAAAATAATATGGGGGAGCCATGTGGTGGTGGCACACACCTTTAATCCCAGCACTCGGAAGGCAGAGACAAGTGGATCTCTATGAGTTCAAGGCCAGCCTGGTCTACAAAGCTACACAGAGAAACCCTGTCTTGAAAAACAATAATAATAAGGGGATGGGACTAGAGAGATGGCTCATCGACTAAGAGCACTTGCTGCTGTTTTTCCAGAGGACCTTGGTTCAATTCTCAGCACCTATGTGGTGGCCCACAACCATGTTACTCCTGTACCAGGTGATCCAGGCAGGCACATGATAGATACACAGACATACATGCAGGGAAAACGCCCATAAAATAAAAAACACAAAACAGGAGCAAAAAGAATATGACTCCATAAAGTACAGAAATGCCAGAGTTAAAAAATTAACTAAAATGTCATATCACTGGTCCACTGATGCACCAAGGAGCAGAGAGACTCTGAATTCACTGACTAAATGAGAATTTACAACCCTGTATTCAGATGAAGACACCACTGCCTCCAGGTCTAAGATTCAAGCATAGCCATGATTCTTACCCCTCTGCTGCTACCCCAAACTTTCCCACCTAACATCTCATTTCCTCTCCTCACTCCAGATTCCATCAATAATTCAGAAAAGTTCCACTCAAATGGTGACATTTTAACAGATCTGGCCTCTCCTGATCCCTAATCTCTCCCTATAGTTTCTGACGGAAAGATCTGAACAGTTTGATATTTCAAAATGTTATGGTAGAAGTAGGCAAGTACTTCTGCCTGAAGTACTTCATTAAGACAATGTATGCAAAATGCAAAGCATACCAGAAAATACGTTACTTGAGCTTTCCACCTGAGATGCTCACAGGGCTTATCCCAAGAACACTGAGGAGCTTGGCTAACTTCTCTCCACATATCCCACAGAAGAGGAGCCTGATTTCCCCCAGAGAATCTTTTAAAATGTCTTCTATAGACATTTACGAGAACAGAATTGGATCTTCTGTGAGTACAGGGATGTTGGCTATGTGAAATGTGTTCTGCCATCTACAGGACTGTCCTCAAACAGAAGGGGACAGGCAGGTTGTCAACTCTTCTAACTACTCATTTAGAAATAATGGCCAGTGCTCTTATTTGGAGAGCCTAGACTTTTGACTTTTTCTAGCTGAATGCTTATCATCGCCCCTTTATCACCAGGTCTTATCACCTCCCTCACGTGCTTAGCTTCCTCTATCTTTTTCTCTCCCCTCTTCTCTTTGCTGTGAGGGATGGGTGTGGGGAGATGTGGAGGGAAGGCATTTGCTCTTGTTGAATGAAAGTGTGAGAAGAAATTTTTCTAGTCTCTTGAATTTGCCCGTGTTTAAGTAGCCTGTATCTGTAGTTTACAAGTTCTGACAGTATCTTCTTCAGAACAAACTGGCCTCAGACTCCTGAGCTCAAAGGAGCCTCCTGCATCACCTTCCTGAGCAGCGGAGACTGCAGGCAAGTGGCACTCTTTTCAGCTTATACTGATTAGGGTTTCACTCTCCTGACTACATTCCTGTGCTTCAGGGAGTTAGAGAAGCAATGTAAGAGGTCCCATTCTTACCTTAACATGAAGAAATTAAGGCACAGAGATAAGAAGTGAGTTACAGAAAAGCACCAGTAGCAAATGAAACAAATACTCATTCTGATTTCCAGCTGCCTACAGTCCAAACCCAAACAAACCCCCATACTGGCTGGATCAGACTCCTGAGCACAAGGCAGCTGACCTCAGTGTTCCTTCCTTCCTTCACTCCTAGGGCCAGTGCTCAGGAAGGGAGATGCGCCAGCCTCCTCACCTTGAGGTGATAAATTACGACACTTGTGCTGAGCACATCATCTTCCAAAGCCATCAGATGTGGCAGGCTGGAGTCGATGACCACTCCAGCCCTCCTCCTGTTGATGTCCACACCATAATGCTCCGTGAGTGTCCACCAGTCATTCCACTTCCGAGTCCAGTCTTGAGTCAGCTGGTCTATCTGGAGAGGTACAAGAGATGACAGACTCCCTGTGTGAAAGCAGACTGGAGTTCCCTCGCCTTTGCCCCAGTATTTTACTTCCTCACGATCCCTGCTGCTGCTATTCAGAACCTCAGAGAGGCCCCTGTACTTCACATCTGTGAGTGCTTCGTGTGTTTTAAGTTTCCTTCAATAAACAAGTATTACTTTCACAAACAGAAGCTCCTTCGATAAATGCTTAAATTTGTCATCAATGAACACACATTGTTTTTTTAAATAGAAAAATATGAATGTGTCATGGTTTAAATATGAAATGCCTCACAGACTCCTGTGTTAAAGATTTGGTCCCCAGCTGGAGGCATTGTTTTGGGAGGTGACAGAAACCTGGTAGGTGGGGCCTAATTGGATACAGTAAATCACAAGAAGTGGAAATATATAATATGTCCCTGGCTCCTTCCTGCCTCACTTCCCATGTCCCAGCTGCCATTATCTTTGTTCCATTATGTTCCCTTCACCAGGATGATCTACCTTACCACAGATCCTCAGCAGTGGGCCAGCAACTATGGTTCATGGAAACCTACCATCTGTGAAAACTCTATGCCTGTGTGTGATTTGATTGTATGTGTACACTTCTTTCACCTCCATGGTTTAGTCACGTGTTGTTCTCTGCGTACCTCACAGGTGTGACTACACGCAAAAGCCAGAGAGGCTGATGGGTAGTCCTATTCTCCCTGGCTTTTTACTTGGGTACTGTGGACCTGAACTCAGGTCCTCATGTTTGCACAGCAAGAATTCTTACCCACTGAGCAATCTCCTCAGCTCCAAAATAACATTTCCTACTCTCTCAGGTAGCTCTAACTCATAGCAACAGAAACCTATCACAAAATGTTATTTCAATTACTTGGTGCTGCTCAGATATCTACACTTACAATTACCCTTTCTGCATCTTTTTTTCCTTTGTTTTTGTTTTATTTTTTGAGGCAGAGCTTCCTCTGTGTAGCCCTGACTGTCCTGGAACTCACTGTATAGGCCAGGCTGGCCTTGAACTCAGAGATCTGCCTGCCTCTGCTTCCCAAGTTCTGGGAACAAAGGTGTGAGCCACCACCGATGCTCCGTTTTTAGGATTCCTCTTATGACCTAACATTTCTTCTCACACATGTATCACCTTGAGTTATATTAAGACTGCACCTGACTCAAAGATACACAAAGCACTGATAGGAATCCTCCTAGACTGTATAGAACTTGTCTGAAGACATGTAATAATAAAATAGCAGCAATAAATGACAAAATACTGAATGATTACTAATTGCCAGGAACACAGGGTTTCATTTCTTCCTCTTTTTTTGACATTTAAAAATGTTGAGTTCGTCTCCAAAACTTGTGCTGATGCATACAAATGGGTATTTATGGGGTACCATGTGTGTTTTCGTTCCATGCAGATACAGTGAACATCTCTGGGTGTAGAGAACAAACTCCTTTCCTCTATTTTACGAAGTTTCCACAGCTCCCCTGGGTTACTTGCTTCTTTTCTTTTTCCACACAATATGTTTTCTGCTCATATTGGGTCTTATGTACCCTGTCATGTCCCTTCCCACTCTTGTGGGTCCCTTCAGAGTTTTAAAGTCAATACATCAAAGCTTAGGGGCCTTAGGTTAAGGACTGAGGAACTTGAGGGGCCACATTAAATTCAAGGCCTTTGCTCCCTTTTGGTAGAAACTAATGTATGCAGAAGACTTATCCTGGAAACAGAAGAATTAAGAACACCCAGAAAAAATAATTGGATTTAGGAAAGTAATTTTTCATAAAGGGACTACTTAGAGGAAAATGCAAATTTTAGATACAAGTATTTAAAATAGTCAAGCAAAATAATTTAAATATTATTGAATTGTGTTTGTAAAATAAGGCACCTGTAAGGGGCTGGTTTGGACTGAGCTTCTGGCATTGGCGTGTGACCATTTATGTGGTCTGGCACACTCTCGAGAAGCCTCTGATGAGAATAACTCCCCTCTCCACACCAGTTCTGGGCAGCCACCACCACCCACATCCACACTGTCTAGGTCATATAGCAGCAGACACATATTAACGTCTAGCTCTGCTGGCCTAGGAAATGTGAAAGGGCTAATGAGCTTGAAATCATTTTTACCCTTTACCTCATCTATTATAAACAGAAACAGAGATGTTGTCTTCTGAGTCAGACAACATCTATTTAGGCAAAAACATATGATGAACTTCTAGATGTATATGTAGTCTTCAAGTTGAGATAGGTAACAAAATGTTCTTATGGCCAAATGTTTTAATAATACATAAAGTTGATACAACAGACTGTTGTGGGATATTTGTATACTGTGTGATGATGTATTGCTGTGATTGGTGTAATAAAAGTCTGAACAGCCAATAGCTAGGCTTCCTCAAAGGCACACCTTTCTTCTAAATGCCTTCTTGCTTCCTCCTCAGCTTGATTCTTGTGATTTTCTCATCTTTGTCTCTCCAGTTCTTCAAAGTTAATTTCAATTTTCCAGGAAATTGAAATTCTTTTTTGGCCTCAGTTTCATCATCCACGACTAATAAAAGACACTTTGCTTCCTTGAGAGATTGGTATTCTTCATCATGTCTTATATTAGTTATAACCTTTTTATTTTAGATAAAAAAGGAAAAATATGGTGATATTGTGCTTGTACTTTAACAAATAAAGTTTGCCTGAAAATCAGAGGGTGTAGCTAGCCACTAGTTAACCATAGAGGCCAGGCAGTAGTGGCACACACCTTTGATCCCAGCAAAAGGTAGGTGGAGACAGGAAGTGATATGGCTGGGAGAAAAGAGGAATATAAAATGGGAGGAGACAGGAACTAGCCATTTTTGGTCTGAGGATTTCATAGAGGAAAGAAGTCTAGTGACTGGCTGCTCTGCTTCTCTGACTTTGGGTTTTTATTATTAAGAACACTTAGAACTCATGTTATAGGACAGTATAAAAATGAGGTAATGAGCCTCACCAAAGAACACAGATTCAAAAAATATGGGTTAATTTAAATTATAAGAACTAGTTAGGAACAAACCTAAGCTAAGGGAGAGCTTTTATAATTAATAAGTTTCTGTGTTATTATTTGGGACTAGTGGCAGAAAAGAAAGCTTGCCTACAACAGAATGTAGGAATATGAGAGATTTGATAATAGGATTTAAATCCATGACCAATATAACCTCACACAAAAAAGATCTGTGTTTTTCTTTTAAATGTCTATGGGAATCACAGTTACTCTGTTTCTCCGTTCTCCCTCAGTGGGTCTTTCATGCTCCTTTGTATGTCACCAATCTGATTCAAGAAGCTAATCCCACTTACATCACATTCATCCCTTCCAACCTGGCTTTCGTCTTCTGTTCACAACTCTCCATGATGAACATTATCTTCCCTGTAGCACGGGCTTCCACACTGTCACTGTCCCATGTCACTCTCCCAGTTATATGGCTTTGCTTACCTTATCTCTTCTCATGCAAAGTGCCCTTCTTCCTCTCTAACAACTCTATCAATCCTTCAAAGCTTGGTTCAAAGCCAGTTCTCTGCCTGCCAATTTATGGCCACTGTTCCAAAAATTACAGGCTATAATGATTTATTCCTTATCAGACATCTCATGAGGCACACCAACCTCTGTGTATCCAAATGGTCTGTGGTCATCCGAGGCAGGGACTCCTGTATCCTTTGATGCTTCACACTGAGTGCTCAAACTGTGAATACATGCTAGTTACCTGACTAGAAAATTTACTGACTAGAAAATAATTTTCCTAGGCTACTCACACTATCCAAAAGAAGCTATCATGAACCTGAGAGAAAATAAATACAAAGAAAGCCATTACCATCAACTAAGGCAAACACCTTTCCTACTCAAGGCTCAATGGAAAGAAAAATGATTTCTGAACTAGACAGATCCTCTCTGCCCCATCAAGAGGAGTACACCTAGATGAGGAGTAACAGATGGAGAGAGCAAACTTACTACCAGGATACTGGAAAGTTCAACTGGGTCCACTCAACACACTCACCTGCAAAGCATTCTGGAGGATTAGCTTCTTCTTATCTAGTTCATCATGTAATGAGCTGAAGTTTCCCTACGGGAGGGGGGGGGATGATGAGTTCTGATGTTTTCTTGGTATCAACTACAATTGAGTTCCATCATTACATTTAAGAAGGATAAAGTATAGATAAAACAAAGTCTTCACCATCAAAATCAGAAATAAGTTGTGAACATTTGGTTTTTGGGCTCATGTAAGTACAAAGGAGGAGAATTGGAATAGACTTTTCTCTAGGGCCCAATTCTCCTTATCTGTCTCCACAGAGAGCAAGGGCTAATAAGGCGAATGTCTTCTAGACAAGAGATGACACAAGGAGAGGGCATCCAGCTCATCTGAAGCTACACAGAAAAATCAGGGAAATCCTTCTGCCTTTGCTCCATCACTGTCCACTGAAACCATGAAGCACAGGGCCACCCAGATGCCTCAGCAGGCAGGCAGAAGCACTTGCTCTGCAAGCCCAACAACCTGAGTAATAATATCCCCACAGCCCAAGATGGAAGGAAAGAACCAGCTCTAAAAAGCTGTCCTCTGACTGCAACATACATGGTCACAGAAACACACATGGAGTATGGCAAGCTGTAGTGTTGAAGGGACAAGACCATCCATCATTGGAATATGGAAGTATTCGCTGCCACATACCAGTTCAAATCTCAGGAGCATGGCTTTCAGCCTCTCAATCTCCTCCCTGAGTTCTCGGATGAGCTTCACATTTGCATCCTGAAACACAGAACTCAGTCACCACTGGCTCATACTGGGTCCCAAACTGCTATGAAGTGCTAGTTTGGCTTCTCAAAGTATAATCCCAGACCTACAGTATCAGCTTCATCCAAGACAATGTGACAAATGCAAATACTGGCCCCACCCCAGAAAGCAATTCTTGAGGGTTGGGGCTCAACCATGTTTAATAAACTATTCAGGTGACTCTTTTGCATATGACCCTTGAAGATTATCACCTTAGAGCAGGCCAGCGAAGCTCACAAATGCTAATCCTCCTGTATGACGACTAAATCTGATACATGCCTAATCGCATTGCCTTTGAAAACAGCTCTTAGGTAGGCAGGTATGTCTGATCATCAGCTGTGGCCCCTGCTCTGAAACATTTCACTGAATCTCCAAGAAGTAAGAAACATTTGCAATGTTCTTGTCATTACTCAGCTTTCAAAACCACAAATTCTTCATACTACCAGTTTAATCCAAAAGAGAAGTCAACTGCAATTTATATAATACAACTCAGACACAATTATCAGTATTAATTAAAAATAAAGGCATCAAACATAAGCTTCCAAATGACCTTTATTAGAGTGGCAATCATACACTAGGGATCTTAAGAGGAATGGCGTTAAAGAAACACCTGGAGGAATTTATAAAATTGTTTGCTGAGAACAGTAGAGAGATCAGAGAAAGGCAGGAACTACATGGGAGAAAGCATCATCTGCATAAAGCAAGTCTGGATGAAAACTGCTCACTAGTGCTTTGTCACCTTGACACAGCTAGTCATCTGGGAAACTGGAACCTCCACGAGAAAATACCTGTATCAGACTGGCCTACAGGCAAGCCTGGAGGGTATTTTCTTGATTATTGATTGATGGGGAGGGTCCAGCTGACTGTAGATAGTATCACTTCTAGGAAGGTAGTCCTAGGCTGTATACAAAAATCAAGGTGAATGAGCCATGGAGGGCAAGCCAGCAAGTAGAATTGTTCCAGGTTCCTACCTCAGCTTCTTAAATGATGGACTGTAATCTGTATGATGTGATAACCCTTTTGAGGGTTTTGAATAAGACATGCCCCATAAGTCTTAGACATTTGAATACTAAGTTGGTGGCTGTTTGGGGAGTATTAGGAGGTGTGGCCTTGCTAAAGGAAATGTGTCACTGTGAGTGGGTTTTGAGGTTTCAAAGCCATTTCTAGCCAGCTCGCTCTGCCTCCTGCATGAGAAGAGATGTAAGCTCTCAGCTGCTGCTCCAGAGACTTGCCACCTGCTACATCTACTCTACCATCATGGACTCTAATCCTCTGGGACCATAAGCCCCAAATAAACTCTTTTGTATGTTGCCTTGTTTATGTTATTTTACCACCAGCAGCAGATAAGTGACAAATGTACCTCTTCTCCCCAGGTTGCTTTTCTTTAATGTTTTATCATCACAACAGAGAAACTAACTATGACAAAAATAAACCAGAGAAAACAATAAGAACTTCAAACTGTATTAGACCAGGACTTCAATGAAGGCCTTACCTCATTCACCTGTGGCTTGTTGATGATGCTTTTGGCATTGGATGCATATCTCAGTGTACTCATGGTCTCACGGTAGCTGGTATGTGCAGGGGACACAGCTGAGGTAGAAGGATAGAGCTGAGAAATACACTGGGCCCTTCCATCCCAGCTCTTACTCACTTGTCTTGCTGCTAATGCCCTTACTGCATGAGATAGTCTTGGGAGACTGAGGTACATTTTCTAGGTACAATACTAGCTCCAAACAGAAGCAGATCCAACGTCCCACTTACTGGCAACCATGATGGTTTTAGAGTTGCCTCCCAGGCTCTCCTTCAGCAGCCAGGTCAGCACAGAGTCCCGATACGGGATGTAAGACTGCCTCCTTACAGGTCCCCCTCCACTGCTGGTCCCAGATGTAGTGCCAGGAATCCCACTGTCACCTCCACTGCTGGTTGCACTACTGAGGCTCTGACAGCTGCTGAACACTTGGGAGTTCTGGGCTTAATGGATTAAAAAAAAACAGAAGTAGAATACAGAAGGCATTATGAAGCAAATACACTGAAACAAAGCAATTGCAGAACACTGAGTAGTATACTCCTTTTCTGCACATGCTAGGAGACTTTAAGTCCGAGTTTACATCAGACTTTGAACTCGGGATATGGATTGTTTTAACATGATTCTAGAATGATGGTCACTCATATTCTAAAACCACCAGATTTTCATGCTCAAACCAGAAAGTAACCATATCAAAAAACAATCTTGAAAGCATCTACCCTAATTTGACAAAATGAAAGTTATATGAGTTATTCCAAAGTCTCCCTCCCTACTCCAACCACCCTGAGTCTATCAGCAAAATACCTAAAGTGGAGATGACAATTCCCAGAGTTACGAGGGATTTGTTGATATTGGCACCTTCAGTAATCCGATTCTTGCAGTAACTGGGATCTGCTCTCTCACTAGAACAGAACAATAAAAGTAAAAACTAAAGCAAACAGGACACTATTCTGCATGTTTTTTGGACCCAGCATGTTGCTACATATCCATAGAAACAGTTCCCTTATGTTACTCATTCCTGTGTCATTATCCTTAACACTTTCCTTCTTTCTGGATACAAATAACAGATACAGCATCCCATCTAGTGGCAACCATGATAGTTTTGGAGTTGCCTCCAAAGGAGGCTCTCCTTCAGCATCCAGGTCAGCACAGAGCCCCCCAATGGGATGTAAGACTGTAAGACTGCCTCCACCCAGGCTCCTCTGTAAATCTTGTTAGTGACTTTTTGGTGAGGGGACTGCCACAGCACTGTAGGCCAACAATGCCTATCTACAGTATTGATGGTAGTAGTCTCTCACAGGTAAAGACTTGCTTTAAATTCACATTTTGATTATTTAATGATGGTGTCTATGCCATTAACTGTCAAGTGTCTCAAAACTCTATCCCCCTTTTTGTTTTTGTTTTTTGTAAACAGGAATTTCATTATGTAACCCAAACTGGCTAGGAACTCACAAAGTCTCTGTCTCCTGGGTGCTGGGATTAAAGACATGTAACTATCATGCCCACCTCAATCTCTTTTCAGAGTAATGGAAAATAGTGACAATTTACAATTTTGATTAGCTGACATTCCTTCAGAAAGGACTTAGCTTACCCAACCCCTCACTACATTGCTGTGCTGGAACTAAACCCAGGGCTCAGTGCACTACACCTTCAGGCTTAGTTCTTTTTTTCTTTTTCTTTCTTTCTTTCTTTCTTTTTTTTTTTTTGTTTTTTGTTTTTTGTTTTTGTTTTTTGAGACAGGGCTTCTCTGTGTAGCTCTGGCTGTCCTGGAATTCACTGTGTAGACCAAGCTGGTCTCGAACTCCCAGAGCTCTGCCTGCCTCTGCTTCCCGAGTGCTGAGATTGAAGATGTGCTTGGGAAGTTTTAAAAGGTCCCAACAGGCATGTGAGACTCAGAACCAGGGATATGGAGGAATTTCCCAGTTCTTGACCTTCAAGCTAGCATTCAAGAATTCCTTCTTTTATAATCTCAGGATGATTAAAACATTTAAACAAGGCAAAACCCAGAATCACACCTATTCCATGTAAAGTGGGCAGGAAGCAGGTCATTTTCAAGGGAACAATAATTCTCCCTGGCTTTGAAACCCCAATTACCTGCCTGCTAGGTCCACAAGGTTGATCTTGCTGACAGTCTCTGAGGGGAGGTTATTCTGGGGGACTGCCTAAAAGACAAAGGCCATTTAAAGTTGTCATTCAGAATGATTAGCATACCCCCTCACACACACAGTCTTCACCAAGGTGACATGTCCTAAGCACTCACCATCTGATCAGCATCACTTCATTAAAACTTACAGTGATCAGGGAAAAGCTCCAGAGCCCCTGTAGTTTTTAGGGGCACTAGGAATGTTAGTACAACTTATCAAGCAAGCCAATCAGTGGTCTCTGACTTTCACCAGCAAAGAGTCACAGAAGGTGTGACAGCCCTTGATCAAGTCTGTTATTCTGCAGTCACAGCATATTGGCTTTATAGTAATGGAAAATAGTGAAAATTTACAATTTTGATTAGCTGATATTTCTTCAGACAGGACTTAGCTTACCCAACCCCTCACTACATTGCTGTGCTGGAACTAATTACATGTTCCATTCAGTAATCCACCACCAACAAAACTATTTCTCATTATTTCTCTTCCTCTAACTCAATGTGGGTTTGTTTTATAAATTTTTTTGTTGTTTTTTTCCAGACAAGGTTTCTATGTGTAGTCCTAGCTGGCCTGGAACTTACTCTGTAGACCAGGATGACCTTAAACTTAGAGATCCACCCACCTCTGCCTCCTGAATGCTGGGATTAAAGGCATGTGCCACCAAGCTTGGCTTACTTTATAAATTTTTAAAGGTTTGGCCAGGTGGTGGTGGCTCACACCTTTAGTACCAGCACTTGGGAGGCAGAGGCAAGATCTATGTGACTTCAAGGCCAGCCTGGTCTAAAGGTCAAGTGTTAGGACAGGCTCTAAAGCTACAAAGAGAAATCCTGTCACAAAAAAAAAACAAAAAAATTTAAGATTTATTTTTATTTTTTATTTTAGTTTTTAATTGTATGTATGTGTCTTGTGTCTCTGTGTGGATGTGTGCATGTGAGTGTAAGTACCACAGAATGTTGGAAGGTGCCAGATACTCTGGAAATGAAGATACAGGTAGGTGTGAGCTGCCTGACCGTTGGTGCATTCAGGAGGCAGAGGTGGGGGATCTCTGAGTTTGAGGCCAGCCTGGTCTACAAAGTTCCAAACCAGCTAGGACTACACAGAGAAACTTTGTCTGGGAAAAACAACAACAAAATATCTGGAACTCAGATATTTACAACAGCAGTAAAACATTCTTCACTGTAGAGCCATCTTTCCAGCCCTATCTCTAAAACTTTAATGTGGTGCCTTCATCATCAAAATAAAGTTTTAGAACATTTCCAATTACCCCCAATTTCTTTGAGCAATATTTGGAGTTAATCTTTGCTCCCATCTCCAGGTCAAATCACTATTCAATGCTTGATATAAATATGCTTTTTGGGATATTTCCTAAAACTGGAATTATACAATATCTGGGCTTCTTTTGATGGGTATAATTTTGAGACTCAAATACCCTAAAGAATGTATCATTAGTTCATGTTTACTGAGTATTCCATTGTATAGATAGCTATAGCATAAGTATCATGGTTATCTATTTACTTCTCAAAAGACATTGGGCATTTGCAAGTTTTGAGCAATTACAAATAAAGCTGCTGTAAATACTTGTACACAACAGAGTGAAATACTGTCTCTAACAACCAAGCAATCAGTCAAACAAAAGCACTCTGTGAATTGGTTTCTGAACTGGGTGTGCAGCACTTGCTTGGTATCCATTAAGGCACTGGGTAAATTTCTAATTTACATTAGCGATTCTGTCATCTACCATGGTAACCCATGGTAGATAACTCCTATTAATTGTCAGGTAAGATGCTTCTTCAGAAATTAGGTATCAAAAATGACCAGAAAACCAGTTTTTCAGTCGGTGCTGATGTAAATTAGGCACAGATATGGAGGCTGGAGGCTCATGATGAAGAGTGTGAATGTGACCCATAGCAGGAGTGTTTCATGTTATAAAATAAATCTATCAAAATTAATCCGGGTGCAAAACTGTCCTAATTAATAATAATCCCAAATCAAGAGTCCTGTAATTTTGTTAGTGGACTGAATGTTTAATGATATGAGATTAAAGTGTGGGAAAAATTGCTTACAGGTCTTTTATGGGTATGACTTCTGGTCTGTTGGCTAGACAGATACCGAGGAGGGAATGTTGCTTGGGTCATATGATTAGGTATTATTTAACTTTTTAAGAAACTACTGGTTTTGCAGGATGGTAGTGGCTCACACATTTGGTCGCAGCACTTAGGAGGCAGAGGGAGATGGATCTCTGAGTTTGAGGCCAGCCTGGTCTACAGAGCATGTTCCAGGACAGCCAGAGCTACATAGAGAAATCATCTCTTGCTGGGGGGGGGGGGGGGGTGGAGGTGGGGAGCACCAACAACAGAACAACCACAGAAACTACTGATTTTTTCCAAAGTTGTGTCATTCATACACATAGTACAGGATTAGAGAACTCCAGTCTTGCCAATATGTAGTGAAAACCTCTTCAAAGTTTTATCCATGATAGCCAGGTGGTGGTAGTGGTGGTGCACGCCTTTAATCCCAGCACTCAATAGGCAAAGACAGAGGCAGGTGGATCTCTTTTTTTGTTTTGTTTTGTTTTGTTTTTTTGTTTTTGTTTTTTTTTTTTTGAGACAGGGTTTTTCTGTAGCTTTGGAGGCTGTCCTGAAACTCACTTTGTAGACCAGGCTGGCCTCGAACTCACAGAGATCCACCTGCCTCTGCCTCCCGAGTGCTGGGATTAAAGGCGTGCGCCACCAACGCCCGGTGCAGGTGGATTTCTTAACCTGGTCTACAGAGAGAGTTCCAGGACAGTCAGGGCTACACAGAGAAATCCTGTCTCAAAAAACCAAAACCAAAAATAACAACAAAAAATTATCGCGGTCAAAGGCAGTGTTTTATTAGGTTTTAATTTGTATTCCTTTGATGCCCAACATTTCCTCAAATAGTTAATTGCTATCTCTATAGCAACAAGCTTGCAATTCTCCTGCCTCGGCCTCCCAAGTGCTGCCATGAAAGTCAAGCACCACCATACAATTTGTTTTCTTGAAACAGGGTTTCATGTACCCCATATTGGCGTTGAACTTCTGATCCTCTTTATTGTGCCTCCCAAGTTCTGAGATTACAAGTATGAACTACTATATTTCATTGTTTTTGTTTTTCTGTTTTAAATTTTTAGATACAGGGCCCCATTTAGCCCAGTTGGCCTTGAACTTGTTATAGCCCAGGTTGACCTTAAATTCCTAATCCTTCTGCTTGCACCTCCCAAATGCTTCCACGTTTTGATTCAGTAAGACTTCTAGTTTCTGCTGATGGACCTTCGCATCAACAGGGAAATGCATTGAAAGTTCAGGGTATTTCAGTGTTACTAGCCACACAGAGCCCACTTGTGCTTCCTCTAAACATACTGCAGGCTCTGTCAAATCAGGACTTCGGGGGAGGAGGGGTGGCTTTGATCCAATTTATCTTTTGTTTGTTTTGAGACAGGGATTCTCTGTGCTGCCCTGGTGAACCTGGAACTCAGTCTGCAGACCAGAGTTGCCTCAAACTCAGAGATTCAACAGCCACTGCCTCCCAAGTGCTGTGATTAAAGATGTGCACTGCCGGCCTAATTAGTCTTTTTTTTAAAGATGTATTTTATTTTTAATTTATGTTTATGGGTGTGTGTGTGTGTGTGTGTGTGTGTGTGTGTGTGTGTGTGTGTGTGTGTGCTCGCGCGCGCACGTGCTAAGGTAACAAGAGTGCTAATACCCAAGGAGGAAGCTGTATTCCCTGAAGTTACATGTGGTTGTGAGCTGCCTGATGTGGGTGATGGGAGGCGAACTCTGTTCTCTGGGACAGCAGTACACACTCTTAACCACTGAGTCATCCTTCCAGCCCCCATAGATCCAACATGTGCACAGCTTCTAATACCCAGGATTTCCAAAGATGTTAAATCCACTGTACCAAGAATTCCCTGTTAAATCCTAGACTGGCAGTTTATGACTTAACCTGAAAAGGATCCACATCTAAAGTGAATGGAGTCATTGATCTGCTTGTTCCTGGCTCCCCCAAGGTACTTACTTTAACTGGCTGCACAAAAGCAAGTGAACAACTTTGAAGGCAGCAAAAGCCATTGCTAATCTTCAAGCCTTGCCTTCTACAAATGAAATTCCTCACTACGGCAGCTGGAGATGTGAGTGGGCATGGGAGAAACCAAGACAAGAATACCATATATCTGTGCTGTTTTTCTTAAATACTGCATATCACAGGGCACACACTTTTTAATACTCCTCTAGTCTCTCAGAACTCGGGCTTTATATTTGCTTTTGGAAACTAGACTTGTCAATCTTCTCACTCCATCATATTGAAAGTGAGCTTTACATTCTTTTCATTTTAATGCTCATTTTCATTTCAACCTTGATTTTCATTTCATACAGACCCATACTGATTTAATTGAGTGACATATTCTGAACTGTTATGAGCAAAGATAGGCAGAAGATATTGGAGAAGTTAGTTGTATCAGACAACATGTAAATATAAAGGCAGGAGGAAAAGGAAAAAGAAAGCAGAAGAAGAAAGTAAACACAAGGCATAAGAAGGAAGGAACAACCAACCTGTGTGTAGTGGACAGTGAAGATGGCATGGGATCTGCTGCTGGCCTCGTGAACATGGGTGGCCGCTGTGATCCTGTGCATACAAGGCAAGGCAGTTAGTACAAGGACTATTAGAACATGGTGGAGCCTAAGAGACCTTTCTGAACATAAGAAATGTTAGGACTGAGGTTAGTGAGATGCTTTAGTGAGTGAAAGCACCTGCTGCCAAGCCTGACAACCTGAGTTCAATCCCTAGGACCCACATGGCAGCTCACAATCATCTGTAACTCCAGCTCTAGGTATCTGACACCCTCTTCTGGCCTCTATGGGCATGGCACACATGTAGTGCACATACATTCTAGCAAGACAATCATTCATATAAAAGTAAGTACGACTATATTTCTATTTTCTCCCAGGGAAACTAGATGTTTATTAGTACTCTGAGTAGCAGAAAACATGAAATGTTATCACAATGCATAGTAGCTTCTGGGGCACTTAAGTTACTCTTCCTAGTTTCATATGCCTATAATCTCACAATGTGGAAAACTAGAAGAAAAACAATTTTATGAATCATTTTACGCTATATTCATCTTTGCCTGTCTAGAACAAATTCCTTTGTAGTGAGACAAGAAGTAATTCTTAGTCATGTTCTGTTCCAAGGCCTTCTGGATGGGCACTGCAGGGGAGTGTGGAGAGACCACTACAAAGATGGCCATACTCTCCAAAGCACAGGAGAACACAGGCTGCACCCCTCCCCAACAAGCCTGTTTTACCTGTTTGCTGCCCCCTCCTCCAGGAGCTGGATGACTTGCTGATAGTTGGTGACAACATGCTGAGATAGACCTGTCAGATTTGTGAGAGGAAAAGAGACCAAATGAACTCTCTGGTAAGCTAACCTTTTCTTGTAGATTTTATCTTTTTTTGGCTCTAATTTTTTATTACATTTATTAATTTATTATTTATATCACTCTGTCTCCTCCTTCTTCTTTTTCTTTTTTTTCCTCCTCCTCCTCTTCCACTTCCTCTTCCTCTTCTTCTTTTTCTTCCTCTTCTTCTTCTTCTTCTTTTTCTTCTTCTTCCTCATCTTTTTGAGGTAGGGTTTCAGAAAACAGCTCTAGCTGTATAATAACGCTAGCTATCTTGGAACTTGCTTTATAGGTCCACCTGTCTCTGCCCCCTAAGTACACCACCAGGCTTCTATTTATCATTCTTATATCACTTCATAAGCTAGAATGAGGAACCTGACTATCAGATAACAAATTAATAAATATGTATTGAAACCATCAGGTGGTATGATGGGTTCTAGAAATGCCAACATATTTCCACAAAGATTACAGTTTAGAATTCATGTAATGGCTCCCTAACCACAAAAAATTCCTCACGGCTTTTTTATGAAAGTTATAAGAAATCTCCTCTTCCTCACATTTTATCATTGGTCCTCAGAAAATCCCTGACAGGAAGGTGATGTTTTACCCACAATGTGGGAGACTCAGGCTGGCATACAAAATACGTCTCTCTCCTTTTACAGTTTATAACATGAAATTACACTGTACAACACATTACAGACAATGCCACAGAAGTAGGGGACACACAAAAATGCTGAGCAAATTAGAGCAGGGTGGACTCTGTGGACAAAACAAGGCTAGGACAAGCCGTTACAGAATGGAAAGGCTTGAGACAGGTGGAAAGGAGCCTATGAGAATCTGTGCTAGAGAGCCTCTGCAGACTATCAGAGGCTCAGGAACAAGACAATGCCATAGGCCTATTGCTAAATAAATGTATACAAAAACTGACAAACCTGTATAGTGACTAGAATGTAGCAGGGTGGCTGCAATCAATTTTCTTAGCAACTTTCAAGGAATAAAGAGACAAGGGTTGTAGCTTACAACACACCCAAATTGCACCCCCCTTCAATTTTTGTTTGTTTTATTTTTTGAAACAGGGTCTCTCTCTAGCCCAGCCTGCTCTTGAACTCAAGACAATTGTCTTGCTTCAGTCTCCTGAGTGCAGAGATTATAGATATAATGCCTGCTTAGACATTCACTTCTTATAGAAAGAAATCCAAATGACTACAAGATAGGAACAAATTGAGTTAGAAGTAAATAAGCCTTTGCAAAGACTGCAGCTAAGCTTCAGTCTCACTCCTTCAACTGGAACTTAGCTTACTTCTAAATCCCTTGTGTTCATAAGAACTTAGTACAAAAAAAGAGAGATACCAGTTAAAAGCTCACCCTGAGAAAGGTTCAGGACTGCAGGACTGCACTTGGGTCCCAAACATCTGCTGGCTAATAAACATTTGCTATTGTGTCTAAGTGGTCTTCTCTGGTGGCTACCTCTCAACAAAAGGGCACAATTTTCCTCCTTAAAAGAGCACAGCTGGCTGAGGGTGGGGGTAGGGGTAGGAGGAGTATGATGGTGCATACCTGTAGTCCCAGCACTTGGGGAGGCAGAGGCAGGTAGGTGGATCTCTGAGTTCAAGGCCAGCCTGGTCTACAGAGTGAGTTTTAGGTCAGCCAGGCCTACACAGAGAAACCCTGTCTCAAAAAAAAATAGCACAACTGTCCACCCCTAAACAGCTGGACCCAGGCTAAGGATGTAAAAGAGAGATGGTACCTAGCTCCAAATGTCAGTGTTTGATAGGGAAGTACATGAGACCCTGTCATCAGGTTCAGCATCTTCCTAGATGCCCTTTATAAGCACTACTGATGTGGAAGACAGAGTGTCAGGAAGATCAGCTGGTCTGGGAACCAGTCACTGCCCTGTTTGGCTTCTGCCTGCAGACTCAACCTACTGCCTCCTTCCCCTAATTCACCATGATTAGTCACACAGGCCTCTTTGGAAACACCAAGGACTTTGGGGGCTCAAGTTTGCTGTTCTCCCTACACAGGACGTATCTATCCTTATGCTACTCATCTTCCTAGGACAGCATCCTATGAGCTCTTCAGGCTTATCATCAATTGTTACCTGTCAGAAAAGCTTCTCTTGACCACACACAGAGGTTCAGTTGCCTACATCTTCCATCTTCTGAGGTTCTTTTCTTTTCTTTTTTTCCCTCTTTTTTTTTTCCAAGTCAGGGTTCCTCTGTGTAGCCCTGGCTGTTGGCTGTCCTGTAACTCGCTGTGTAGACCAGGCTGGCCTCAAACTCACAGAGATCACCCTGCTTCTGCCTCCCAAGTGCTGGGATTGAAGGCGTATTCACCATGACTGCCTGGCTCCAGGGGTCTTTTCAGTCACTGTATGTAGCTACTTCTTTATAATCTTTTATCACAATGTATAATTGTTTGTCTTATGACATGTCCACCAGATTTTAAGCTTGCCTGTGAAGGCAGGGCCATGTCAGGTCAGCTTCTCAGCATACATCCAATGTCCAGTACAGTAGCCAACACAGAGAAAACAATCATTACACAGGCTGAGTGAATTATTGATCATTAGGGTAACTTCCCACACCTCAGTTGGCCCTCCAATTCCCAGGATCACAGAAGCTCACCTTGGACATAGGGTCCCATTTCTGGGTGCTCCCTGATCTTCAAGCTATAGGACTTATTTTGACTGGATCGCTTCAAAAGATCTCTTACCTGTTCATTATAGATTTCCAGGAAGCTAGAGACACAGAGAAAAAGCAAGACAGTTAGACTATGAAGAAAGAAGGGAAAACACTTAGTTGAGAATCAAAAGGTCCTGGATTCCTGATCTGGCTCTGATAACCTTAAGACTTCGGTCAAGCCAGGGTTCCCCTGTAAATATCTTTCTACAAGTTCACAACAAGGTTTGACCATTGGTTACCACAATTTCCCCATTTCTAACATCCATGCCAATTTGGGATTAGCTTTCAGTAGGCTATTTTAATACAGTCAAATGGCTTTCAAATGTGATTCTTCTATTGTTCTGGGTTTTGTTTGCTTTATATTTGTATGGTGGGGATGCATATGTGAGTGCTGGTGCCCTCAGAGGCCAGAATGAGTCAGATCCTCTGGACTAGATTTACAGGCAGTTGTAAACCATCAGACATGAATGTTGGAAATCAAACTTGGGTCCTCTGCAAAAGCCGTATGCATTCGTGGTGACTTGAATGTCACCATAGTCTCAGGTATTTAAATAGTTGGTCACTGGTGGCACTAATTGGGGGAGGTAAAGGTGGTTGTGGTGGTTTGAATGAGAATGGCCCCCATACACCATGGACTCATATACTTGAATGCTTTGTCCTTGGTTGGCAGAGTACTTTTGAAGGATTACGAGGTGAAGCTTTGTTGGAGGAAAGGTGTCAGTGGGGGGAGACAGTGATGTTTCAAAAGCCCGCACTAGCTATCCCCAGTTAGTTCTCTCTCTCTACCTGATGCTCATGGATCAAGATGTAAACTCTCAAGGTATTGCTCTTACCATGTTCCCTGCCATGGCTTCTGGAACCATGAATGCCACGTTAAATGCTTCCTTTTGTAAGTTACTTTAGTTATGGTGTCTTATCAGAGCAATTAAAACTAAGACAGTGAGTGGTACAGCCTTGCTGGAAGAAGTATGGCACCAGGGCAGACTTTGAGATTAAAATCATCCTGATATTTCCCGTTAGTTCTTTAGTTCTCTTTGCTTCATACTTATGGTTCAAGATATGAGCTCTCAGCTTCCTGGTCCTGCTTTTCACTGTGTTGCAGTACCTTCCACTATGGATTGTAACCTGTGGAACTATAAGTCCAAATAAACTTTTTCTTATTTCTTAAATAAGTTCCCTTGGTCTTGGTGCTTTATCACAACAGAAAAGTAACTAAGAGAGCATTTTTTTTTTACTTAACCGACATTATTTTCATTTTATATACCACCAAACATTTCCCCCTCTCTCCTCTCTTCCTTTTCCCTTCCCCCCACCTCCAATCTACCCACTTCCCCATTCACTCCTCCTCCCTCTCCATTCAGAAAGGGGCAGGCCTCCCATGAGCTTGAACAAAGCATCGAGTTGATGTAGGACAAGCCTCCTCCCCTGTGTCAAGGCTACGCAAGGTAATCCAGCATGGGGAACAGGTTCTCAAAAGACAGCTAAGCATAAGGGACAGGTCCTAATCTCACTGCTAGGAGCCTTACAAGCAGATCAAGCTACACAACTGTCACACACATGCAGAGGACTTAAGTCAGTCCCATGCAGGCTCCCTAACGTTGGTCAGAGTCCATTAAGTTCCCACCAGCTCAGGTAAGCTGTAAGTACTCTTAACCACTGAGCTATTTCTCCATTCCTTGTTTATTTTTTTAAGATGGGACTCGTGTAGCCTAGGCTTGCCTCAAACTCACTAGGTAGCCAAGGCCTTGAACTCCTGATGCTCCTACCTTCATCTTCATTATCCTACTAGGATTTTTTTCTACTGTCCGATAAGGCATCTCAAGGGCCACTCCCGAGCAACAGGGGAAATTATTGTGAAGGTCCTGCCCCTGCTGTAATCTGGACAACTCTGATCTTTTTATTCACCAAGAATGTGATGTTATTTCATTATTTTTTAAATAGTTACAATTCTTAGCTGAAACCAGCGATGATTATATATAACAGGAAGGGAAGGGGAGGAGGTGAGAAAGGAAGGACAATACAAGGTTTAAAGAAAAACTAGAAAAGCTGGGCTGTTGTGGCATGCCTTTCATCCTAGCACTCTGGAGACAGAAGCAGGCTGATTTCTGTGAGTTTGAGGCTACCCTGATCTACAAAGCAAGTTCCAGGGCAGCCAAGGCTAAATATAGACATCATGTCTTGAAAAAAAGAAAAATGAGTAATCATATATCAATGTTTTTCACTGAAGCTTGGTGAATTAAAATTTATTTTGTTAGGTCATGGAAGCTCATGCCTACAACCATAACACTTGGGAAGGTCAATTATCAGGATTGAGAGTCTGAGGCTAGCCTGGGTAACATAGCATGATGCTGTCAAACAAAACAAAACAAATCTTGGATCTAGCACTAGTCTGAGAAGTAGGTTTGAAATTGACAGTCATAAAGAACAAGTCAATGAGGGTTAGGAAGGGAAATCCCAAAAGCAAGAATGAAACTACAAGAATAAAGGAAGGGAAACTGTGGCCCTGGAGAAGAACCTGCTAGACTAGTCCAAGGGAAGAGAATTAAAGTTTCCACAAACCAAAGTCTTAACTATGTTTCCCCTTTCCCTGTACTGTATGATATATCCTCTGTGTATTTTCTCCATCCCTCTGAAAATATGAAATCTGGAATGGAAATAGGACATTAGGAATCTGGGGCTTGAGTTCTTACCTTACTTTTATGCTACGGGAAGAAGGCAGTGAGGCATAGTCATCCTCCCTGATGAAGAGACCCTGCACAAAATCAGAGGGTCAGATTTCACCGAAGAGAGCTGACATAGGAAACTTATTTTGGGACTACATGATCAAAAGAGAGTCTATACCTCACATATCCGTGGGGTCAGCCCAACAGAGGCCTGGATGACAGAAAAAGGAAAACATTACTGCTTACTCTGAGCAATGCCCACCAGCCCTCCTCTTACCCATAAACACCTAGAATCCTGGAACTCCCCTAAGCACAGAGGACGGGTGTGTGAGCTCTTTGTGCTAGCTAACCTCTATAGAAGGATGTAGAAGACTACAGGCTGGCACTATCAAGAGACACTGACAAAAAGAATGTACAGATAAGAAAAGCTGACAAATCTACACATGTGCTTTCCTAGCGTGACCTTTATCATTCTTGGATAAAGTCACACTACTAATGTGTCCCTTCTAGATCCCTAGACACAGGAGGACATATCAACACCCTCAGCAAAACTGCAAAATCCAAAGAAGCAAATACTTCTCTATCTCATATACAGAAGTTTAAGGTTTTATCCCCATTTGCTTAATGGGCAAGTTTTTATTTTAATTTCAAATATCTGAAACCACACTAACCATAGACTAAGGAAACAATGAGCTATACCCAGAGAAGTGGGCTATCCTTTCAGATTGTTCCTATGTAATGTTACTTGTCAACCACTGCCAAGTCACCTCACTAGCATATTGAATCTAAAAGAAAGGGGATTCTTTTTTAAAAACATGTATTCATTATGTATATGGTGTCCTGCCTGCAGGTATGCCTGCACAACAGAAGAGGGCACAAGATCTCATTACAGATGGCTGTGAGTCACCTTGTGGTTGTTGGGAATTGAACTGAGGACCTTTGGAAGAGCAGCCAGTGTGCTTAACCACTGATCCATCTGTCCAGCCCCAAGAAAGTGTATTCTTAAGGAATTTTATTTTATTTTTCATTGCTGTTGTTTTGAGATGGAGTCTCAGTGTGTATCTCTGGCTGGCTGGAACTCATAAAGAACTGCCTGTCTCTACCTCCCAAGGGCTGTGTTAAAGGCATTATTCCCCTCAATTTTTCTGTGATTAAAAACAATTTACATTACATTCTACATATTTTTAAAAGCCCCCAGCCCAGCTACATCTCTTGCTTTCTTCTAACACACATAACTTTTGAAGCTGAACACAGCATTCTTATCTCTGTATAGCACTAAGATTGAGTCCAGGTTTATCCTTAATAAAAGTGTGAAGCTTTAGGTGATGAACCTGAAAATAATATGTATATCCAGTAGGACCAATAAGGGCTCTTGGTCAAAGGGAATCATGAAATTCTAGTTTTTCAAAATTTCAGAGCAATTAATTATACAAGCATTATCATTCAATTAAAGTAGTGAAATGCCATTGTTAGGTATAGAAAAGGGCCATTAATCTCGTTAATGTTGATTATGGAGATCAGGTTCCATATCACAATGGTAAGGACAACATAAGATTCAGGTTTGCTATGGCATTAGGAAGACAGTTCACTTCAGTGCTAATACTCACTGGAGTCCCCAGCATAGTGTATGTCTTCCCAGAGCCTGTCTGCCCATAGGCAAAGAGGCATATGTTGTAGCCTTTGGCAGCTCCAGACAGTACTTCAGTCCCCAAGTCCTGGAACACCTGCAATAACAAAACTAGAAAGCTTGACAGTGATCCATCTTCCCATAGCACATCTAAAAACATTTTAAATCTAAAAAAAATATATATTGGGGTCAGAGTGATGGCTCAGCCTTTACGAGAACTGGCTATTCTTCCAGAGGACCTGGCACCCACATGGCAGCTCACACCTGATTTAATAAGAATCAGTTCAGCTTCAGAAAAAAAAGATTTTAAGGGAAAATTCAGTAAGTCAATTGCTCAAATAATTTTAGGTACCTACTGTACCCTAGCCTAGATTGTTTTTTAAAGTACATTTCTTAGTCCTTTTAAAAAGGATTTATTTTTCATTATCTGTGTGTTTGTGCATGTAGTGTGGAGTATGTGCACACATGTGAGTGCCTTGTGATGCCAGTAGAGGACGTCAGATACCATGGAACATAAGCTACAGGCAGTTGTGAGCTACTTGGCATGGGTACTAGGAACCAAACTCAGGCCATCTGAAAGAGCACAAGTAGTCTTAAATGGCTGAGCAGTATCTCAGCCCCAGTGTTCTGTAGTCTAACACAAAACAATCTAAAGCAGGACAAAGATAAGAAGGCAAAACACACTCATCCTGGAACACAGAAAAATGCTCATTATGGCTAACAGTGTGGTTATAGAGAAGGTAAGCTCAAGGTCTGAAGACTGCACAGGACCAGTTTAGCTCAGAGGTTAGAGAAAGTTGTTTCTGATGGTCACCCCCTCTGACTGCCCCTGATAGATGGCAAGTTCTGCTGGACAATCACTTAATTTGTGGTCAGGTTTTTTGACTAATTTAGAAACCCCCAGTAATCCTCTTGCAGAAACTGGACTTTAAGTTTCTAGATTTTCTGAAATTTCAGCTGAACTCTGCTAGGCAGCATCTGAACACTTTGGACCACTGATATTGATCATGGTGGGAGGCAGAACCCTCTTCACTTGCTGGCAGCTGGAACAATAATACATGAAACGAGGCTGCCAGCCAGGTAGACAATCCCATTTGACTTTCTAAAGAAAGATGCAAAAGCAGAGCAGCAGCTGACAAATCCTCCAGGAGCACCAAGCACAGGCAGAAGAGTCAACTATGGTGCTCATGCCAGCCTATTCTGCGTGACACCACCTGTGATTCCTGCTGCCTTTCCAACTTCCCTTTCAAGTATGTGAATCATCTGGTATGGTTCCAAATTGTAGTGTGCATCTTGTCTTGTACTTCAAAGTTGGGTGATCCTAGGCAATTTACTTGCATTTTGTAAGCTCTGGTTTCTCTAGCTGCAAGATGGTTATCACATAGACTGCTCAGAGACTGATGTTACACAGGAAAGAGGGGGCAACCAGGTAAACACAGGATCTAAGGCTACATTGTTCTGTATTCTAGAAGGCACACTTCTGCTCTTGGCAGTGAGCAGTTTGTTTCTGTTTGCTTTTTAATACTTCCATCATCCAGGCAAAGACCAAAAAAACCCAGGGTGTATTGAAAGACTTGAGCTCTGCTCAAAAGAAAACCTTCCCATGATCTCTCTCTCTCTCTCTCTCTCTCTCTCTCTCTCTCTCTCTCTCTCTCTCTCTCTCTCTCTCTTATTTAAATTAGAAACAAGCTTGCTTCCCATTTCAATCTCATCTCCCTCCCCTCTTGCCACCCTCCCCCCCCCCCGCCCTCCCCAGCTCCTCCTCAATCCCCACTCCATTCCCCAGGGAAGGTGAGGCCCTCCATGGGGGATCTCCAGAGTCTGCCATTTCATTCAGGGCAGGGCCTAGGCCCTCCCCCAAGAGTACAGGCTGAGAGAGCATCCCTCATTGTGGGATGGACACCCAAAGTCCATTCGTATGCCAGGGATAAATACTGATCTAGTACCTAAGGCCCCACAGATTGCCGAGGCCTCCTCACTGACACCCACATTCAGGGGGTCTGGATCAGTCCCATGCTGGCCTGTCAGTCATTAGTTTGGGGTCCATGAGATCCCCCTTGTTCAGGTCAGCTGTTTCTATGGGTTTCATCAGCCCAGTATTGACCCCTTTGCTCATCACTCCTCTCTCTCTGTCACTGGGTTCCAGGAGTTCAGTTCAGTGTTTAGCTGTGGGTGTCTGCCTCTGCTTCTATCAATCACTGGATGAAGGTTCTAGGATGGCATATAAGGTAGTCATCAATCTGATTATCAGGGAGGGACATTTAAGGTAGTTTCTCCAATATTGCTGAGTTTGTCAGTTGGTGTCATCCTTGTAGATCGCTGCAAATCTCATTAGTGCCAGATCTCTCCTCAAACCTATAGTGCCTTCCTCTATTATGGTATCTTTCATCTTGCTCTCCTCTATTCTTCTCCCAACTCAACCTTCCTGCTCCCCCATGTCGTCCTCTCCCCTCCTCTTCTCCCCCTCTCTTTTTCCCGGCTTCCCCCCACCATGTTCCCAATCTGCTCAGGAGATCTTGCCTCATTCCCCTTCTCTGGGATACCATGCCTATCTCTCTTAGGTTCCTCCCTGATTTCCAGACTCTCCGGCAGTGGCATTGTAGGCTGGTAATCCCCTGCTCCATGTCTAAAATCTATATATGAGTGGGTACATACCATATTTGTCTTTTTGTGACTGGGTTACCTCACTCAAGATGGTTTCTTCTAGTGCCATCCATTTGCCTGCAAATTTCAAGATTCCATTTTTCCTCCCCACTGAGTAGTACTCCATTGTGTAAATGTACCACATTTTCTCTATCCACTCTTCAGTTGAGGGGCATCTAAGTTGCTTCCATGTTCTAGCTATTACAAATAATGTTGCTATGAACATAGTGGAACAGACGTTCTTGTATGAATGTGCATCTTTTGGGTATATGCCTAAGAGTGGAATTGCTGGGTCTTATGGTAGACTGATTCCCATTTTCTTTTTTCTTTTTTTTTTTCTTTTTTTGGTTTCTCTGCGGCTTTGGAGGCTGTCCTGGAACTCACTCTGTGGACCAGGCTGGTCTTGAACTCACAGAGATCCGCCTGCCTCTGCCTCCCGAGTGCTGGGATTAAAGACATGCACCACCAACACCCGGCTGACTGATTCCCATTTTCCTGAGGAATCTCCATACTGATTTTGAAAGTGGCTGTATGAGTTGGCACTTCCTCCAGCAGTGGAGGAGTGTTCCACTTTCTCCAAATCCTCTCCAGAAGAATTGAGAATTCCATCAGAATGGAATCAGGGCGTTCAATGACAACCCCCCTGATTCCTAAGGCTGTGTCACTGTAGAAACAAGCCCAGGATTTGGACATAGATGACTCCAAATGACAGCCTCAGCTCTGCAACTTGTCTGTCTGTCTACTTATTCATCCTTCCTTCCTGTAGGCGTGTGTGCATTCACATCACAGTGTACCTGTGGAGGTCAGAGCTGGTTGCAGGAGTTCATTCTCCCATTGTACCATGGGGTCCTGGGGACTGAACTCAGGTCATCAAGAGTGGTAGCAAGTACCTTTACCCACTGCACCATCTCACTCCCCTTCAGCTCTATAATTTAAAGAGATAGTCTTAAATAAAAGAAAGGTTGTGTCTACCAGCCCTCCTATAATGTAAAGGATTAGAGATATATAGCTCAGCGGTACAGCTTCTGATTGCCATGCTTGGATCCCTTTGTTTGATCCTCAGTACAAAGCGAGAAAGTAATGGTTAACTGTCACAACCACTTTTTGATAACCAACTACATTTGGATATGACAGCATATGTAAAGGTATTTTTTTTGAGACAGGATCTTTCTAAGTAGTCCTGGAACTCTCTATGTAGACCAGGCTGGCCTCCAACTCACCTAGATCTGCCTACCTCTGCCTCTGCCTCTACCTTCTGAGTGCTGGAGTTAAAGGTATATACAACCATACCTGGCTGAAAGTATTTTAAATTAGACTATGAAGAAAGAATAGTTGTTTTATAACTTAGAAAAATTCCTTTAACCTGTAAATACAACACATTTCTACTTCCCTATGAATAGAAAATTTATAAAACACCGTTTCTCAGATTTTAACATGCACCTCAACAACCAAGACAATATTTTTAGAAATTTACTTATATTTTTACTGGTGTTTTGTCTGCATGTATGTCTGTGTGAGGGTGCCAGAAATCCTGGAACTGGAGTTATACACAGGTGTGAGCTGCCACATGGGTGCTGAGAATTGAACCCAGGTCCTCTGGAAGAGCAGACGGTGCTCTTGTCCACTGACTGAGCCATCTCTCCAACCCCTCCCAGACAATATCAAAAGAATGTGATAACAGAGGGAGAGGGAGAAAAGAGAGATATATAAGTAATGCTAAGGATGTCTGAAAAAGCCATAGAGAATCACATTTATTTCTTCAGTTTTCTGAGACAGGGTTCTCTTTGTACCCTTGGCTGCCCTAGAACTTACCCTGTAGACCAGGCTGGCCTCAAACTCATAGAAACCCCACCCTACCCTCCCCACCCCTGCCCCTGGCTCCTGAGTGTTGGGATTAAAGGCGTGTACTGTCACCACCATCTAGCAGAGAATCACATTATTTCATGAGTTTATCTTAAAATACTAAATTAATGTGTGTGTGCGCATGTGCACATGTATATACTTTAAATGGAGTTACACCACACCAGGCGATAATGCTCCTTTTGACCACACAGTCTGAAGAAACATGTTCATAATATATCAGTTGAGCCAAATGAGAGTTGTAAGCAAGGCCAGGACTACAGAGGGAATCTGGGCCTCTGGGAATCTGGGAATACTTGATGCTTCCAAAACCTTCCTCAACACAGTATTTAGTCACAATAACATCACAGCTGGGAAGAAAGGAAAAACAAAAACAAGCAAGCACTGACTTCCTAGCCTTTAGACTCTTTGTCCCTTCCTTCCCCTTTCTCAAATGCAAAATTCCCTCCACCCACTGCTCTCAAGAGGAAAGCTTGTAAAAGAACAGCAGTACTGGGAGTTGGATCCCAGAATTCATTATTACAAGAAAACCCTAGGCAAGGCCCTGAAGTACTACACAGGATACTCATTTAAGGCTGAGGTCCCGACATGGCA